CTCAAAAATCTCACCATAACAGCTGTTTCCCTTTGCAAAAGCAAACCATTCTGGCAACAGAAATTTACCAGTTTGACAACAGGACACAAAAGCGTATTCTTTCATGAAGATTCATGAAGACTCTAATATATCCAAGCCTGAAACATAACAGTTTTCACTGCAACATAACAAATTTCTACTTCATAACTGAGTGAACTGAAAGAAAGAAAAGTGACACTCGAACAAGTTGTTGCCAGAATAAATATTATACCTTTAATTAGACAAGAAGATTACGAATGCATTCAGCAAGCTGCATAAGCTAAGCTTCACATTGTGATGAATCAAAAAGAGATTGTGCAGCAGAAGAGTTAAGACAGCCACAGCAGTGTTGAATTAGCTGCCTACTGAGGAATGGTTCTCAAGCTAAAACAAAGAGAGGCAACATATGAGGAACCAGCGATGCAAAGGCTGGGACAAAAAGTTACGAAAGAGATTCAACTGCAACAGGCAGGCAGCCAGGCTAGGCAGACAGACAGGCTAGGCAGACAATATTTTCTTACTTACTGCTGGAGTAGCGCGGTGTTGTGTGTTAGTTTCTTGATGACATCTTGAATCGATAGTCAGGCTCTCTTCAAGGCTTTGCTGCACATACTCAAAGGAATCCCCCAGGCTGACTTGAATTCAGAGACAAAATTGTAGCACCACTGTTTCCTTCTTCTCTGATCTGAAAAAAATGTTACAAACTGAAATTATGAAGAGATTTAGCAGCAAAAATCTAGTCCCACTAGAGAGCTAAGACAAGCCTTCCATGTGGAGCTTGCCACTGTGGGAAATGTGACAAGATAAGGATGCAATACTCTTGGCACTTGAGCATTGAGAGGACAACAGGGTTGTTAACGTTACTTTATAGAGTAAAGACTTTACCAGCGTTACCGTTACCTTTACTGTAACGATAACGGTAACGCGTTACTTTTTGAGAAATGAGTAAAGTAACGACGTTACCGTTACCAAAGAGGAGTAACGCGGTAACGGCGTTACCGTTACCGCGAGGCATCAAAAAGAGCTACAAACCTATATTTTTCTCCCTTTCTCTCCCTGCTGTGATCAGCTCATTTGCCAAGGCGCTCAATCTGTTTCTGAGAGCAACAAATAAGCGTCTACACTCAGAAAAAAATCTTTCAACACTTGCACTTTTCTGAGTGTAGACGCTTATTTGTTGCTCTCAGAAACAGATTGAGCGATGCATCACTTGAAAAAGAGGTCCCATCGGCCATGAATTGGCAATATTGGTAGAAGTAGGTGCAGAAGTTTACATTAAGTAATGTTAATCATTTAAATTTTACTGTCTTAACTTTGACTTTAAAATAAGTGGCAATATTGGGAGAAGTAGGTGCAGAAGTTTACATTAGAACGTGTTAAACATTAAAATTTTACTGTCTTTACTTTCATTTTAAAATAATCGTAGTTCACCCCAGCAATTTTAACCGGTAAAATTGTGGCTTTTAAGGAATTTTAGGATTTGAAGTAACGATAACGGCTTTACTGCGTTACCTGTAACGGTAACGCGTTACTTTTTCAGAAGTCGGTAAAGGAACGACGTTACCGTTACTCAAACCCGAAGTAACGGTAACGGTAACGCGTTACCTTTAAAAAGTAACGTTAACAACCCTGGAGGACAAGTTAGGTGGAATCATTGTCACAAAGGAAGAATAAACATTAATAGAAAATAAAAACACATTGAAAAACTGGGATATAAATTGTGAACATTATTTCACCCTGACCAAACACCAGAGTCTGACCTATGATCTACTCAAATCAACTCACCTCGGCCTTGTGAAGAACCAGAGATTGCGCAGGACAAGCAAACAGAGAAGCCAGGGGTTTCAGATAGAAGTGTGATTGATCCATTCGAGTGAAAGCTTTCAAGCTGTCAAACTGGGCAACAGTCCTAAAAAAGAGAAACACAAACTTTACATGCCAGCAAAAATATCATTTCAACTATCTGATTCACTCAGAGTGAGGAATCCCAACATGAAGAAAAAAAATGTTGGTATCAGCCTTTCCCCCAAAATTAAAACACGACAAGTTTCACCCCCAAGTGTGGAATATTTCCTCCCCAGCAAACTTTTACACACAGTTCAAAAAAGTACCAACAGAACAGCATAAGTTAAAGTACAAAACAACCACACTCCAGATAGTATTTGTTGTCAGCCTAATTTAGGTACTCTGCAAACTCAAGTGTGTGCCAGGCACACACTTCCTGGTGCATGCCTGCAGGCACACACTTCCTGGTGCATGCCTGCAGGCACACACTTCCTGGTGCATGCCTCAGGCACACACTTGCCGTCGCTCATGCATGCATACAAGAAAGTGTGTGCCTGAGGCATGCTCCAGGAAGTGTGTGCCTGCCAGGCATGCAGAAAAGAAGTGAGTGTCTGCCAGGCATGCACCAGGAAGTGTCTGCCTGCAGGCATGCACCCGGAAGTGTGTGCCTGCAGGCATGCACCAGGAAGTGTGTGCCTGGCACACACTTGAGTTTGCAGAGTAGAGGCAAGTGCTGCTGAGAAAGAGGAAATGACATGCCTAAGCTGCGCAGCTAATTTGGCCCAGCTTATTAATTCAGCTGTATCGCAAGGGAATCACATTTCATTCAGAAAGCGAATGTTTTTAGCTGGAGCTCATGCAGCCAATTATTTCTATCTGTGCAGTTTGCCAGGTGTCCTTTTAATGCATTCAGGCAGCATTTAAACAGCAGCAAAGCATCAAAAGGCCTGCATGAAGTTACACGGGCAACCCTCAAAACATCACTCAATGGACTGAGCTATCAGTGAAGCTGGCCGTAATCACAGCACACAGCTTTGCCAGATCATGGTGACAAAATAGGAAGATTACTTGTAACGAAACAGCCTCCACCAAACGTGAATTGTTTGGTTTTAAAAAGGTCGGCCCAAAAGAGCTCCCAACTCATCACAGTGAGCCGGCCCAGTGTAGAGCTCTCAGCTCGACAGAGAGAAATCCAGTTCTTGGTGGGCATATCAGATGAAAGCAGACATCCAGAACTGTAGTCGGCCCTTGTATACTTTGAGCACACAACTGAAAGGACTTTAATAACCATATCATTCGATACAATACTGAAAGGCGAAATGTTTTGCATAAGATACCTATCAGCATGGATTATGCCCCTCTAAGCTGCTGTTGTCCAGCTCGCACCACCAAGGTGAATCACCGTGATTAAGTTGTCAGGAAAACTGAGCCTGACAAACTTATCACAGGGAATAACCAGTACATTCATCAACCACACACAGTGGGAGCAAATTGAAAATGCCTGTTCTGTTCGAAATGCAAAGTGATGCGATGATCCTTCACATTCATTCAATCATCGTGGAGTCAAGATAGATTCCACTACAGCTAACCAGCCAACAAGACCTTCAATGCTGACAATTGTGTACATTTGTAGCACCACGTACATTCAGTCACAGACTCAACAAGGAACAGACTCACCAAAAGTTGACAAACACACTCAGCAGCCCTCCCAACTCCAAAGTCTGAAACCATTCTCGTAATCCATCACATCAGCATCTGCAAAAAAAAAATAAAGAGAAAGATGAAAAGAGATTTAAATCCTGCACCATATTCAGTCACATGGAAGAACTTCTAAGAAGGAAAGGGTGATTCCGCGCGTAGAGGGCGTTTTCGTGTCCACACCCTCCCCAGAGCGAACTTATTCGAGTGCAGTCCATTTATACACTTAAGAATCTTGTTTGGCACTAGAATAGCTTGTTCCCTTTGGATACGGACTTTCAAAGCTAACATGTGACGCGGGAGAGGGGCCAAAAGGGTCGATTTTGTAAGTTCCGTCATGTCCATTCGCACCTTACACCAACTTTGCGGCTCTATAACCCTGCGTTCCATTCAAATCTTCGAATTCCACACACACCCATCAAATCTTTAACTAATAGTGACTATCTTGCTTGAATTTGAAGATCGTATATTGATTGGAACTGTACTTTCAGAACGCGTACTAAATGTCCACCGCACTCCGACTTTTACCTTAGCGGTTTCAAAGTAAGCACCAAAAAAACTACTAGGAGTGCTTCCTGCTCAAAACCACCGCCGTATTCAGAATCAGCACGGTCTGTTTACCATATGAACGAATTTCGGTGGTGAAAAAGTGAGGGGGGTGAGTGTGCGAGTGGAAGTTGTGTGTGAAATCGGTGGGTTGTAACAATTGGTGTAATTTCCGTATGCCCCTCTCGCTCCTCGTCTATTGGGTTTTGAAAGACATTCTACACGTGAAAAGATGTGTCTTGACGTCGAACTAGTGTGCCAAACTTATGGCATATTTCTGTGGCGATATGCAGTTGCAGTGAGCCAGAAACACCTGTTTGTAATTTCCGTGAAGCGTAATTCCCGTCATATTTTCAGTTAATTTCGTCATATTTTATAGGGGGAGAAAACGAAAGTCAACTTTTAGCTCGCCCACGCTCAGAGTGTCTTCCTGGGGTTCAATTGATGCCATCTAGGCCAAATTCCGGCCGAACAAGCAGGATTGATTACTTGACTTTCTTAGGTGGCTAAAACGGCCCCTACGCACGGAATCACCCGAAAACGTACAGACAGGTATTCAGAAGGGATATGGTGCATTGCACTGGGAAATATTTTCTTACATTACTGCTGAAGTAGTGCTGGTCTCATGTGAAAAGTTCTTGCTGACTTCAGGAATCAATGGCCAGGCACTCTTCAGGGCCTTGCTGCACTTGCTCAAAGAAATCCTTCAGGATGACTTGAATTTGAAGACAAAGTAATGGCACCACTGTTTCATTCTCCCCTGATCTGAAATAGTGTTACATACAAAAATTAGGCGAGCCCAGTGCGAGAGATAATAAAGCTGCCCTCAGAAAGACAATAGGGGCACAACAATAACTTACCTACATAAGGAGCTGCACCGGTCTCCTTCGGACTCCTTCACATCCAGTCAGCAAGTGGCCGTCCCACTACCATAAAAAGCTGGGAGGGATTCTTCAACACACAAAAGCACTGCCTTGTCGTCCAACTTTGCTTTTCTTTACAACTGGAGAAGCTGATTTCACAAATTCAGCACCTGCACCCTTGCCTCATCCTTCAGTCCAAGGCCTGAAAACGAAAGTGACACACAAAATAAGAAGAAAGACACCAGAGCCAGTCTGTGGCGTAACAGGTGTGTGTTGCCCTTAGAAACCAAAGACCCACTTCAACTCGCTTCAAACTGACCTTTATTTTCTTGAAGAGTTGAATGTGTGTTGGAAATTGACACTGTCTGCATTACCATTTCAAAAGGAATGGAGACAACTTCATCCTCTGACACAGAACAGGTTTGAATTCGGTGAACTGGAATAGAGGAAGAATATAGAGAGTTTCAATCGTTTAAATCTTGTCGAAATCAGAAACCTGTCTGAAAACCTGATCAAAGTTAGCGCACCTCTGAAAGCTGAAAACTTATTCTGATGCTCTGTAGAACTTAGGCCATCAATATCAGAATACGTTTTCAGAGGTGCATGAATTTTGATCAGGATTTCAGGCATTTCACTGACATTCTGACAAAATTTTCAACGACTGTGCAGAAACTGAAGAAGGCAGAATGTGACTTACCAATTAACCTTCTGTTGCGCTGCCTGGTGGGTTTCACCGCATGAAACAGGGCTTCTTGGCTGACCCAAATGGAGGCAGTCTCCGGAACACTCTGAATCCATTTCTAGTGGTCATGGATGGAAAAAGCTGCTTGAAAGGGCACATCAAAACCTGTCAAAATATTATTGGTATTACTTCCAAAAACTTTGCAGTGCAGCAAGCACTGTAAAGATGGCCGTGTTTTGAATGCATAAGGTACACGTAGACCGAAACAAATAGGAGATGCAGAGAAGCCGAAGAGGTTAAGAGGTTAGGACGGATGCGAGGATTACGCCCAGAGGTAAGCACACTGAAGTCATACCTCGGAAATTACTCCCGCACTGTTAAAATAGATATGAAATCGTCTGGTTAAGATTCCTCACTGACAGACGGTGGCAATATTTAACATGATTTCACAAGTACTCGATCAACAACGAGTCTGTTGCCAATCAATCTGCACAGTTTCGGAACGGGACGGGACATGAAGAGAAACGCAGAGAAGCACCGAACCTTAACGCCCCGGCTCAGAAGTAATCACTTGCTCACAGACACATTATTATTCCGTAAAAAGACATTGCCCGATATCGAGTGGCCACTTCGTCCGTTGACGGTTTGAACTGCACGGAGACAGACAACAACAGACTCGGAGTGGGCGGAGAGAGGGGGGTGAGGCTACATTCGCGGTCGAAATCGGCCAACGTATCGGCGTCAAACTTACTCCTACGCCTTTCTATACCATTTATCAAAATAATTACATGTAAAGAACACGCTGCAGCGGCAGCTCTATTAAAAACACATAATCCGACAAGCATCTTGCGCAGCTGCTATCCGCACCACGCACCTGCAAATAAAGTGGAGCGAACTGCAAACTGCCTTCTCCCCCACCCTTCCCTTCTCCACCCGCTCCGACCGAGCTCGTGCCCAAAGGCACGAAGACGCGTCGCACGTCGGTCGCACGTCTGCGGCTCGTGTGGTTCCGCACGAAGACGGTCGCTCGTCAGGTCGCTCGTTTCGCTTCGCGTCCAGACTCGGGCTGGTTCGGGCGAGTATTTACATCTTACATCAAGTTTCACGAACTATTTTATGGACATGACAGCAAACGATATCACAGTTGTTCAATTCACTGACAGTGAGTTGTTAGACCTACCTAATCATGTTGATTCGCTACTGAAATCCAATGGTCATTTCAAAGATGATGGCGTTTTGCTGGTAATTCTTGTTTTCTTTAAGTGAGGGTGATTGTGCGGTGTGTCTATAGTAGAAATGCAGTAACTTTTTTCCCTAATTGCACGTTGCAAAACGGTTTATTAGTTACTCCTTGGGTTTTAACATTTAAGTACCTTGATTCATGACCTATGACTTTTGCACAATCTAAAATAAGTTCTACTGCTCTGACCGCAGTTCTCCTGAAATACGTCTATATTTTACCTTTTTGTTTAATATCCTGATAAGTCTCTTAAAATTGTTACGAGTGAATTTCACACTCTTCTTTATTCCACTTACCAAAGAGGGATAGTTAAAATTTTAATCAGAGGTACTTTATTGTTCATCTAGGTCTGCTGTCGAATTTTGGTTATTCTTGAAAAGGAGTGAGATCGTTGTGGCTCTGTTATTTACATGTCTTTTTCATCTGTCTCCAGTTCAACATGTGTGAGAAATCTGGTGGAGGGACATCTCTCCTGGATTTGTTAAATAAATACAGTGTTGATCTACAAGAAGTGAAGAAGGTTAATCCAATTTGTTTACCCAAATGCGATGATTTCTATGGGCACATTACAATAGGTCACAATGATCTGAATGTGGAAGAGAAGAGTGAAGCTTTGGCTTTGTTTCTAAATCCTTTAAGCTATTCAGTTTCACCAGAAAACTGTTGGTATGATACCTGCATTTTAATTCCTTTTATTTTTGAAATTGGTTGTGTCATGTCACTTATGTTATTTTCTTTGTTTTTGTCCGGCTAGCCTCTCTGTGTTAAATGGATTGGGTTCAGAGGAACTCTTGAATCATTTCTTTCTAAAAGAGCTACGTGCAAACTCAGAGACACCACCCCAGTACCAACGGCCCTCTAATGTTACAACTTTGAAACAAAGGGCTACTAGAACAAGGAACAAAAGGATTAAGTTTGAAGAGGCATTTCGGAGTCTTCCGTCAGACAAGAGCAGATGCGCCAAATTGTTGGAAGAGTTACGTAGCTCACACAAGAAAAATGAAAAAGATTCAGTTGTATTCTGTACCTGTTGGAAATGTGTGTACTCTGAATCAGTCTTGAAAGTAACAGAAGATGGAGAGACTGTGGAAGATCCTGTTGCAACTGCTAAATACTATCAAGGGAAAGGATTTTTCTATGCAAACGGCATCGAAGTTGGGGCCGACAACGTAAACATGATCTCTGGTAGTTTCTCTTTGTCATTCCTTAATGTGCTCAGTCTGACGTCACATCTGGACCATTTCTATCCTGGAGTGAATAGTCCATTTTTATATTTTGGTGGTCCTCATTCCTTCTTCCCAGTTCATGTGGAGGATTTGTCTCTTTTCAGTATCAATTTCTTACATCATGGGCACCCTAAACTATGGTAACTTGTGTGTTAATGTTGTTTCATAAAAGATTTTACTTACATATTAACAGTTTCTTCATTGTGTCACAGGGTCATCATCCCACCAACATCAGTAGCCAAACTACATTTTTTTTTGTCTAGAGAGTTTACCTCTCCTACCCAGGGTTCCTGCCACAATTTGTTACGGCACAAATATCACCTGCCAACACCAAACTGGCTGAAAAGAAATGGAATACCTTTCAAAGTGGTAACTATTAATACATTACTCCCAAATCTCATTAGGAAATGTTGGTTCTCCATTGTCATATCATGTCTGTTTTACTTTCAGGTGATTCAAAGACAAGGTCAGGGTGTAGTAGTTACCCCAAATGCAGCACATTTTGGTTTTAACTTGGGGTATAACATTGCAGAAGCGGCAAATTTTGGGACTGTATCATGGATTCCGTATGGCATTGTCAGTACAACATGCACTTGTTTGTAAGTTCTAAAACAAGTTGAAATTAGTAGTTGTTCTGCTGCCTTGTTTATTTTTTTTCTGAATTATTATTACAGGTTGCACCAGGCACATCCAGATTTGGAACTTCTTGTTCAAACTTTCCAACCTGATATGCTCAGTGCATATCGAAACCAAAGAATTCCTTGTGTTGATAACGATCCTAATTTTTATAAAAGTATTGTGTGCAATACAATTTGGAAAGAAGCATGTGTATGTACTACAGGGTACAAATTTAATCTTATCATTGGTCCAATTTTATTATTTTGGTTGTTTGTTTTAATTTATTTTCCTAGGACGAAGGTTGTGATGCTACTGCTACTCTTCAAGACGAATCACTACAGAGGGGAGGAGCAGCTCAAGTGGAAGCACCAGTTATGTACCTAATTAAGTGCCCCAAGAAGCCCTCCAAAAGGAAGCTTATAATGTGTTCACTGTGTGATACCACTTACGAAGGTGGCCACAAGAAACGTTTGCTTGATCACATGAAGAGTGTTCATCCACAGCCTTCAGCTGATGAAAAAGAACTTATGCAAAAATCACTGCTTGAAATGTTCCCAGAAAGAATACCAAAAATGGTTAAGAAAGAGTGTAAGAAGTGTGGCAAACCTGTAGCCAGATCTATGAAGGCACATCAAAGCAGCTCAGCTTGCATTAAGGGGGACCCTTAGTGTGTATTTTTTTTTCTTTTTTTTTTCTTTGCAACATGAAAATGAAACCAGTGCAAGTCAGGAAGTATAAATAAAAGGGTATGATTTACAAAAAACCTTTATTTTCTCAGCAACCTTTTCAAAAAGCACTACAACCTAAATAAGAAATAATTTAATTCAAGTCGATTCTATCTTTCTTGGAATGGTGCTTTGCCTCTGCTGTGCAGACCAATTATCTGTGTCGTCAAGAGTGTTTAAAATACTCTATTGGCTTCAATATTACAGCTTAAGACGGAGCATTTAATATAATCAAACATGATAATTGCAAAACAACATTGAGAAAGGAACACATGTATGTAGGCACAGTCTCTTAAGGACACAGAAATTCACCCAAAACCTTTAGATAGTTACTTAAAATAGAAGTAATTCATTGGATTGTTACGTCTAATCAAACAAGAACACACCAATAAGTACATTTTGATGCTATTGTCAAGCCACTAATTCTTAAAGAAATGACCTGATTCGGTGTGAGACTGCTTTACAGAGCAGTACATTTCCTTGAACCTTACAAAACTTGAAATGAAAAAGATAAAAACAGAACATGCACTATAAATCAGACACAATTCGTCTTAGAAATTACTAGAAGACATATGATTTGACGCTCACTGTATCTTGATATTGCTTCTGCAGCCAAGAAAAATGAACACCTACCCACTCCCCAAAGAATTTAGAACAACACTACTTGGTAATCTCATTACCATCCATAGTAATCAAGTAATAACATTTTACAGACAGTAAACCTCTTCCCTCAAGAAACAAATATTCTTTACCACTTCACAAACAACATACCACAGATGAATAGAGAAAAGTTTATTAGTAAGGGGGGACCCTAGTGAAAAACTGGCCAAAATTGCCAAAAAATGTATTTTCAAAGTTCGAAGATAAAAATGTGCATAGAAGGTTTCAGATTCAACAGGTTGAACACCTTTAAGCTAAGTGGATAGTTTCTTAATAATTTGGAAAGAAATAACATTGACATCAGTTGTCGTTGGCTTATACGCTCAACTTCACAGCTTTGCTCAGTCGACAAAAAAAATTGTCGTAGAAAGACTTACTGCGTTCCTGGTTGACACCCACATGAGTCGTCTTGCATAGACTCTTTTCTTTGATGACTTGTCATCAATTCTCAGAGACGGAATCTTGATCAGCCCTACTTTCTTTTACAAACACCTAAAAGTTTGAAAAAAAAAGGCAAATAAATCACTCTTTTTAAATGTTAAAATTTGAAAATTCATATCTCAGGACAGAAGTTGAAATTGAAAATTATGTCACTGGCATCTCTTCTACACAACTTCAGGATAACCCAAAAAAAATTTCCATTCCAATGAAAGAAGCAGGAAGATTTTTCCCCAACACTCTAAAAAACACTAAAAAGCAACTTTTCTCAGAGACCGTTCAACATTATGGATTGAATTTGGTTTTAGGAACTCACCATGATGAACCTAATAATTAATCAAAGTTGCAACTTTCTGGGACTATTTTAAAGCCTACTTGAAAGTTTCACCAGGGTACCCCCTTAAGTAGGGTCTTCAGATTAAAACCACATTGATGCATTCTACAAATTCATCACATAACACTCACTAAGTTTCAGCGTCTCTAATAGATATACATTCCTCTAGCATTTAAAATGATATCCCTCATTTGAATAGACACAATTTGCCTGCTTACAGATGTGACCCAAGGTACTCTGTACATTGATTTTGCTTCTAAAGCCATGCAAAATAAATACCCACCCACTCCCCACAGAATTTATAACAACACTACTTGGTAATTTCATTACCTTCCAAAGTAATCAAGTTATAACATTTTACAGATAGTAAACCTCTTCCTTCAAGAAACAGAAATTCTTTACCACTTCACAAACTACATAAACAAGTATACATACTACAGATGAAAGGAGAAAAGTTCATTTTTAAGTAGGCTCTTTAGATCAAAACCACACTGATGCATTCTACAAATTCATCACATAACACACAGTAAGTTTTAGCGTCCCTAGTAGATATACATTCCTGTAGCATTTAAAATGTTTTCCCTCCTTTGAATAGACACAATTTGCCTAAGAAATAACTTGCTTACAGATGTGACCCAAAGTACTCTGTACATTGATTTTGCTTCTAAAGCCATGCAAAATAAATACCTACCCACTCCCCAATGAATTTATAACAACACCACTTGGTAATCTCATTACCTTCCATAGTAATCAAGTTATAACATTTTACAGATAGTAAACCTCTTCCTTCAAGAAACAAAAATTCTTTACCACTTCACAAACAACATAAACAAGTACACATACTACAGATGAAAGGAGAAAAGTTCATTTTTAAGTAGACTCTTCAGATCAAAACCACACTGATGCATTCTGCAAATTCATCACATTATATGCAGTTAGTTTCATCGTCACCAACATCCAAATCAAAAGACACCAATAGATACACATTCCTCTAGCGTTTAAAACGTTTTCTCCCTTTTTATAGACACAATGTGCCTTAGAAATTACGTGAATAGAGATGTGACTTAACGGAAAATTGAAATGGCTTCAGAAGCCGTGCAAAATAAATACATACCCACTCCCCAAAGAAATTATAACTACACCACATGGTTATCATATTACCTTCCAATGTAATGAAGATTAAGTTATTTTACATGGTAATACCATTACCTGAATTGAAAAATCTCATGCAACCAAAATTGCATCACACTCTTGATTACAAAATTATGCATCACTTATCTTCACGTTTCATTCTTCTCCGAAAAGTGTAGGACTTTTGAGGACAACCATATTTCATTTTGGTAGAAAACACATAATTCCTCATATTTTGACGATGACTGGACATAATGTGGTGAGACATATCCACCAATCCCCAATAGTTCTTTGAGAAGATCCTCTTACAACCCGGACACTTAATCGTTACCAACTGCTTCTTGCTTACATGAGAGCGTTTGTTGATGTCGTTTTCTCCTGGTTGCCTCACATCATCTTGTCGTGTTTCAATCTTCATTTCGGTTAAGATGAACTTCATGTTATTTTTATGAGCCTGTTAAACAGAAATCAAAGTCTGGAACAATTACTTCTTGATGAATAGGAATTCTCATTTCAACTTTACTTAATCTCCCCTATTTAAAGAAATGGGGTTTTCACATTTATGTGGTCTGCACAAGGATTATGCTTTCTTTTTACATCTGGGCTGTATCAAGTAAAGGAAAATCAACAGATCAACACATCAACGGACCGGGACGGTTTGGGGATGGCTCAATAGGTCTAAAACCAAGAAATATGTTGAAGAAATTGAGTACTTAGGTCATCCTAAGACATTTAATCCAATAGTTTTTACTCCCCGACCCGCCCTGACCCGCCTTGATCCGTTGATCTGTTGATGTGTTGATCTGTTGATTTTCCTTAACTTGATACAGCCCTGGTATCTGCATCTCCTATCTGTTAACAAGCTCTTCTCAGCATTTCACAGTTTCTGCTGGTTTGTTTTCCACATTTCACAGTTTTTACTTACAACGGTCACTGGAAGCCTAATTCCAAAACTAGACCAGGCATATATCATCTACCTTCTCAAAGTGGGCAAATACTTAATTTTAAAATAGCTTTAATGGCATAGTAATTAATAAATAGTAATTAATAAATAGTAATTGATAGTAATGAAAGTAATGATAGTAATGAAAGTAATGATAGTAATGAATAGTAATTAATGAAACACTTCAATTCAGGAAACCTACCGCTGAGGTAGACTTCTTTACATCACTGTTGAGGGCATCAAAGCTGTTACGGAAATCTGTTTCCAATCCAGGATCATCAGGGTCTTCCATCTTAATGTCACATTTGAGAGGCTCTTCCTCCTACAACAAAGATCTCCTAATTTATTGAAAAACAATGCTTTTCATACTTAATAAATAAATAACGACAGTAACAGTGAACAAACCTCCCAGTTCAAAGTTTCCAACTGTGGATTGAGATGTGAATGATCCATCTCATATCGTACTGCTATTGGGCTGTGCTGCCTGAGCCCCAGAGCACTAGAATACCACTGACAGCTGCAGTTTCCATCATCAGGCACAGAGCAAGTAAACCACTTCTTCTTTCTGAATAACAAGCAGAGTTCAAATAGGTTAACCCAAAAGTCATGTAATGATGCACTCATGAAGCTTGTTTCGTTTGATTATCTTCAACAGATAATGTGAAATCCAATTTTTCCTACAAAAGTGAAAAATCCTCAGTACGATTCCGTCTTACATTCTAATGATTTAAGCTTCGAAACGGCCTGCACAGAAAGTAACATCATTGGTTACATTGGCGTTTGTTGATGCTGGGGCCGTGGCCGTCTGCTGGGGGTATGAAAAATTAAGTAGTTGTCATACAATGCTTTCTGCTACCGCTGGGAGGCGAGATTTCTGAACCAACAGAGCCCTCTGTCTGCTTGTTTTCGTTATGACAGTTTGATTATTTCAAAAGGGAGTTACCTTTATTGCCTTTCCCATTTTTGTTTTGATTGAAGAGACGCCTCTGTGATTTCTGCTAACTGCCACTCACATGTCAAGGCATACAGTTTAAATTTTCGTGTTTGTACGGAGCTGTCATTTGAGGTTATTCATGGCAAGGAATGAAAAGATATTTCTGTTAATGATTGTCACTGAGTAGTTTTGGTAAGGGGGGAGTCATAAAGGGATATCCTAGATTTAAGAATGCAAATGTATTTTTGTTTCCTTGTCTCGCACACATCAGTAATTTGAAGATTACTGCTTCCTTGTTTGAGCATTGATAATTTTTTATAATTTTGATAAATGATGAATACCATAGTCATTTGTGTTTGTATGTATGAAGCCTGGCTTCATCTCATTTCCATATCTCCGTCTTTCTTCCATGTATTGTGCTCTTATTTCTTGAGAGAGCGCAGAGTAGCAGGATTCCCCCGTAACATATAATGGACGCTCCCTACTAGTACACAGAGGACATAGCAACTGAAAATCTGAGCTCAAGTAATAAATTATTTTCCTGGTCTATTTATTCTGGTGCCATGGTCGATCAAAGAGGTGGTGGCAGGAAGTGCTGGAAGCCTCCACCCAAAGGAAAGAAACTGATGGTGAAATCCTATCCCAAGAAAAAGGTATGTCTTTGATAGCATGAGAAAGGGTGATAGTAAAAGAAAAATGTGTTTATGTGGAAAGATACTTGCAGGAGACACTAGTGGCGTGCCCTGACGGTGGCACTCTACACTTGTGTCTACTGCTAGTAGCTATCCACACTAGGTACAATTCCTACATGTTTTGCATGCTTTTTGTAATGATTTCATGCATTATTTTTAAAAAGCTGCATCTTCTCATGAAAATATGCACCCAGTATTTGTTTGCATATCCTACTTGAGGCGCAAATAGTATTTTTAGTGCTCATTCAATTTGATTTATCTGCATAATGTCTTAATCGTATTTCTATATCATATTTCTAAATCATAAGTCAGACTTCAGTTTTGTCCGGGGATGAGGATCCAATAAAAAATAAACCCGAAAAAGAAAGTAAAAGTTTTTTAATCCAATGACAACCACAATCAACACTCGTGAAATTACTAGTGAGCCTACTTCTTTTGCAATTCAATATTGAATGGACATTGAAGAGAACCAAACATTAACATATTACGCAACTAATGGAAAATAAGACAAATACATGAATAACTAAATATTTGGTAAAAAAAATGGCTGTGAGACCCAAGCAGCAGAGGCACACTTATCAGAATATTTAAACGAGTCATTCAATTTAAGTCATATGATATGAGTTTCATAGCCAGTTCCATCACTCTGTCTTGAGGAGAATAGTTAGTAGAACTCAATACTGTAGTCGAGTATCGTCCTCTCGGGGGTTGTGTGTCCTTCATCCAATTTAAATGTTTCCATTGGCAAACTGGCACTGGGGAAAGATGTTCCACACAAGTCGGTGCACTCCCTCCTCGAAGGACCAATATCCCTCCCTCCTTCAGAATTTTGCACTTGTTTCGGAAGAGCTCCATGATCTCACTCGACATTGTACAATTGCTCCATTCACTGGCAAAGAACATAAACACTATCAGACATTCTGAGAAGAAAAAAGCTAAGTTTTGAGAAAATATTCTACAACTCTGTTCAGAAAATGAGGGCAAAGAAAACATAGAAACCGGGTTTCCTTATTACCTATCAGTCAGAACCTTGCAAGCAGGAATGACTCTCCACTTCAATGAATGGAGTTGAGAAATAACAGTGTTCAGAAATTCCGCTTCCACAAGCACTCTGTTACCATCAATTTCATGTAATTTAGGATCATACTTCACCAAGCCATCCCAGTCTGTTCCAAAGTAATCAGCATGGGAGTCTACGTAGTGTGGCTTCCTTTGCAGACGTTTAGACTTTTCAGTCATAAACACGTTGCCACATAAAGAGCACATTTCCTTCCAGATGTATGCTGGATCTTCTACAGTTCTGGGGTGGGCTCGTGGTATGGGAATGTGCTGTGCTTTGGTCTCAGGTTCTAATGAGCAGCACTATTTGAAATAAAAAAAGTATTAATATTATTGTGTTTACAACCACTTATAGATATTCCAGAAATGGAAATGCAAACGGTACCTCAGCCAAAAACCAGTCTTGAAATTCTGGAAGAGATTTCTTGCTGCCATAATCCCATGTTAATTCCATACCAGCCTTTAGATTTGATGCCTTACAATACACAATAAAAGATGAAGGTCCCTTGTAACTTCTTGAAATTTGTACTGAAGGACTTCTCCCATTCCAGTTGAGGTAAGAAGCAGGGCCTCCCATATATCCATTCTGTTTGATGGGGCTTCTGTTATATAAATGGGCACACAAGCCTTCAGTGGGAGCAGCAGATGTCCATCCCATTATTACATAGTCCTTTGCTGAGAAATTTATGCGACAAGGAACATCTTTCCGTACTCGAAGGCGATACCCTAGGTGTGGCTTTTCCTCTTCTTTGAAAAATTCAAAAAAAATTGCAGCACTTCGCCACATTTGATCAATGGACTTCTTCATGTCCTCGTATGACTTGTCATCTACTTGCACACCTGTGGAATAAAGCATCAGAAATAGATTAAAACACAGACATGTAAAAGAAGAAGTCAAAGAATATGAGTAGTTTGAAAACTGTGGATTGCATAGGTAAGTTTCTGTAGTTTCCCACCTATAAATTGTACCCACTACAAACGAACTCCTCATTTAAAACTAGGAACATCCAGTTTTAAGACTGGAGCCAAAACTTACTGTCAACATGGGCTTCACGTTTTGAACACCGACGAATAGGTATGTTGAACATTTTGTTGCCCATTTCATTATCGTAGTCCCACAAATCACGCAACTGCCTCCCAGTAAGAGGATAACAAAGCTGAGCTTCTTCGGTTGCCATAATTCTCCAAGAAGAGTGGCACTTTGGAGTCGGCACCCAGTGATAATACAAGAACTGAAACCAGGAACTGAATCCTGAGAAGAGAAAGTGCCCCGTTGGTGCGAATACTGTCATTTCCCCCCCCCCTGTTGTTTTTTTGTTTTTGTTGTTGTTGTTGTTGTTCAACAGCTGTAGCATGTACACAACACACCTAATCACTTGATGTCCAAACTTCTTGTCTGAAGAATTAGTTTTGCTTGGTAATCTGTTATCTGCAACTGAGTCACAAGTGTCTGGGTTTTGTTTTTTAATGTTTTATTCTTATATCTAAATTTAGTGCGTAGTTCCTCGAACTATCCTAATCTTTTAACCTCCTTGGCTTCTCCTTGGGGCGGCCTGATGAGACCCCCAGAACAAGAAAAAGATTCATTTTTCAGCCAGAATATTGATTACATTTGTCTCAGGCTACCTAAGTTCCTAGATATAATTATTGGGGCTACGGAAGACAGAGCACTGAAGCTCTTCTTTTCAGTAACAGTACTGCTGGTGCCAAACGGAACCTTAATTTGGCATTTAAGTTCTCTCATTTCATATTACAATATGTATGTTGCAGGATTACTTTTCGAACGCTGAAAATAAAAGTCAACTCCCTGTAGTGTGTTTAGGATTGTGGAACTTCCTACCACAACGCTAGGGACCCAGTTCTCCAAAAACAGAAAAACAACTCTGTTAGTAACTTTTTCAGTCTACCCAGCTACACTCATTTCTTGGTATGAATAATGATGTAAGTTCGGCACTGAAAAATGTTCTTGGCTATATGTAACGTTATTCCCTTGTTTTGTCATCAGAAATATCTATGCGACAGCTGATTCATCTTGACGGAACCTGAAAATACTTCTTTTCAACTCCTTATCATACCTGGAGGTTGAAAGTTGACACTCCGCTCTTCAATGTGCTGGGCTGCTTGGTTAGTTGAGACTGATAGCAGTACTTGAATACTTATCTTTATTGCTTTATATTCTGTATCCAGTGCTTTTTATTCCTGTCTTTACAGTGCCCTTTGATAGAGCACAGCTGTGAGCTTTATTTTGTAGGTATTCCACTGAATCACAGGACAATGCAAGAAGTTGAAGGCTGGTTACACAAACACCTCAAGTACTGAGCAAATACTCTCATTTCTCTTTGATGGCTACTGCTGAAACCTGCTGCCCTATTGCAAGGTATGTAGAAGCACACCGCTGCTCATGATTGATTATTCACTAGGCTGCAATAACAAAATTTATTACTATTTTTATTTTGTTTGCAATGTTGACTATAAATTATGATTTCTGTCCGATGCTTCTATGCTCAGCTGTTGACTTTGTCTGCACTAAGTCGGTTTCTACTTGTTAAATATCATTCCTCAAAATGTCTTCTCTCCTTTGATTTTCAGTAATGGGGCAGTATCTTCCTCATTTAAATTAACTTTGAATAAAATTAGTGAAATACTTGTAAAAAAAATAAAATGAGGGAAATACTTATAAAAGAAATAAATTTTTTCTGCACACATTTTGAGTAGTTGACTCTTTTGTCCGGTCTCCGGTCTCCGCCGGTCTCCGCGGTGCACGTGGGGCGTGCCGCCCGGCGCGCTCGCCAGCAGGACATCCAGCGCATTGAGGACGCCGACGGCCGTCCCGGCGGACGTGCGGCAGCTGTTCCACGACCTGTACGAGTCCAAGTTCAGGGCGCCGGCCGCGGACGACGGGCTGCGGCTCGACTCCTCTTTAGGCTCGACTCGCCCATCCTCGCCGCCGCCACCAAGGTCCTGGACGACGCCGACAACGAGGTACTGTGCCGGCCTTTCAGTCTCGACGAGGTGCTCGCCGCGGTCAAGCGGTGTCCGAGACGCAAGTCCCCCGGCGCGGACGGCCTCCAGGGTGAGTTCTACGCCACTGCGTGGAACGTCGTTGGCGAGGCCCTCTCGGAGGTCATGAACGCAGTGTGGGAGCGTCGCCGGGTTCCGCCGGCCATGACGCGCGGCATCATCACCCTCGTCCCCAAGAAGAAGCGTCCCGTCACCGCCAAGGACCTCCGCCCCATCACCTTGCTGGACGTCGACGCCAAGATCCTGGACAGGCTCATGACGGCGAGGCTGGCCGTCTTCCAGGACCGCCTGCTCCACGCCAACCAGGTCCGGCCCGGCGGCAAGCGCACCATGGCGGGGGCGCTCTGCGACCTGCGTGACGTCATCAGCGCGTTGGGCGCGTTGCGGCTGTCCGGCGCCGTGCTGTCCATCGACTTTTCCAGTGCCTTCGACAGCGTGCGACATGACTTTCTGTTCGAGGTGCTGCGCCGGCGCGGCGTGGGCGCGCAGTTCGTGGACGTTCTGAGGTCGATGTACGCGGGGGCCTCGTCGCAGGTGCGCGTCAACGGTGTGCTGACGGCGTCCTTCCCGGTCGCCAAGTCCGTGAGGCAGGGCTCTCCCGCCTCCATGCTCTATTTCTCCATCGTCCTGGCGCCTCTGCTGATCGTGCTGGAGCAGCGCCTGCAGGGCCTCGCCCTGGCCAACAGCTGCATGCGCGTGTCGGCCTACGCGGACGACGCCTTCCTTGTCCTCCGCGAGCACGCCGAGGCCGCGGCCGTCGTGGAGGTGCTGCAGGACTACGGGGCCACGTCGGGGCTCCTCGCCAACCCGGACAAGTGCGGCGTGCTGGCCGCCGGGGGCTGGTCCAAGGCGGTGCCCCTCGCCTTCCCCTACACCGACAAGCTGAAGGTCCTCGGCGTCACCTTCCAGGAGAACGTCAAGACCACCACCAAGGACAACTGGGCGGCGGTGCCGGCCGGCGTGCGAGGCGTGCTTCGCGCCAACGCGGCGCGGGCACTGGGGCCTACGCAGCGGGCGCGGTATGTCAGCATGTTCGCTCTGTCCAAGCTCTGGCACGTGGCGCAGGTCCTGCCCGTGTCCAAGGGCGTGTCCGACGACGTGGTACGGGCTGCTGCGAGGTTCTTGTGGCGCGGCCAGCTCTTCACCACCAGCATGGCCATCGCGTGCACCCCGCGCGCGCAGGGCGGCTTGGGCATCCCCGTCGTGCAGAGGAAGTGCCTGGCGCTGTTCACAGGCCGGTGGCAGGGCGTGCTGGTCGACACGCCGGACAGCTTCGCGGGCGAGTGGCTCCAGGTGCTGCTGGGCGCGTTCCCGCTCGGAGTGCTGCAGCGGCGAGTCTGGCCGGCGGCGGGCCACTTCGCGGCTTTCCACGCCTGCAGGACGACGGCGGCCGCGGCGGAGCCAGAGGTGGACGCGCGCACCGCCATCCGGGCCATCTACACCGAGCTGGTCAACGCGGTGCCCGCCCCGGTGCCCAGGGTGGTCGCCAAGGCCCCGGACGTGCAGTGGCAGCGCGTCTGGGCGAATGTCCGTCACGAGGCCATCCCAGAGGACGTCCAGGACTCCTGGTGGAAGGCCGTCCACGACCTGCCTGCGACACGGCATCGCCTCCAGCGCATCGGCCGCTCCGACACCAGGACATGCCCGAGGTGCGCCGCGCCGGACACGCTCGCGCACCGCCTGGCCAGGTGCAGCGCGATCCGGGACGCGTGGCGCTGGACCCGGGCCACTCTGACCAAGCTGCTGGGCAGCACGGCCACGCCCAGGACGCTGCTGCAGCCCACCTTCGCGCCGGACGACCCCGACCGGCACGCGACGGCGGCGTGGGTCGCGGGTCACCACGTCCACCAGGTGGTCACCGCGGCGAGGACGGACGCCGCCAGCTTCGCGCGCTCCGTCGTCAAGGCCAAGTCCAAGGCCCTGGCGCGCCCCGCCTGCCCGGCGGCGCTGCAGCGCGGGCTGGCTGCCTTCGTGGTGTGAGGTGACGAGTGACAAGAAATGGGTCACAGAGGAGGACTAGACGAGTTAAGTGTTCCGCCTTTTTAAGTATTGTATCTTTTAGTTACCCTTTTATTTCAATGTGTTTTAATAGTGCTCTTTTATGTATTCAGCTTTTACCGTATTCTTTTTAACCGCTACTTTTATTTATTGGCCTGTAAATGTTTTTAAATTCTGGACGCTCACATGATGTTTTTCTCTGTTTCAGGTTGGCGTAGGGCACGGGGGGCCGAACCCACTTCGGTGGTAATAAGCCCCTCGCCGCCGCCGCTGTCCTGGAGCAGAGAAGCATCATGTGGCGTCCATTTTACCGAGCACTTCAAGTTTTTAACCGTTTTAATAATGTTCATTAAGTTCAAACATCAAGAAAATTTTTAATGTAAAATGAAGTACCTGAATTTTCCATATTTTTATTTATTTATTCTATTATTTTTATATCACTGTTAAATCGAATTATATTGATGTTTTCCAAAAAAAAAAGATACTCTACGAGCCACAGACTGGGCTTTGTAATCATATTTTTGGTCAAAGGTTCGTGACAAAAAGACTCTCTAAACAAAAAAAAGGTTTATCTAGGAAACATTTTGAAGTGGCTCATTGTAACTTCTCTTTGCACTTGAAATTGATGCAGAAGTTATGGTTGGATTAGGTTCTGATTGACCAAGAGTTTTGGTTGATATCCACTGATTTTGATTTTAACGAATTGCAAGAGCGAGAGGTCAGGCAAGCTGCAGTTTCAGTACCTTTGTCTAGTAATCAGTTTCTTGTCTTTGTTTTAGGAGCAATGGATTTTTTGTGCATGTCGCCTCGGCTCAGGATTGTGCTCTGAAGCTCTTCATCTGTTGCGACCTATATTAGCAAATTTGTGCTGTATTTTATTTTTGAGTGCAAGCACAATGCCCTGTGCAACAGAATGTTTAAAAGGCAGCTAGTACCGTAATAAATGCTTCATGTAATAAATACTTCATGTACCATTGAAATCCTATTAATTTATTGCAATACAACACCTATGGGCATAAACTCCCCAGACATGACATTTCACAAACATATCCCTAAATAAATGAGTTGTAACTTTCACCAAAAAAAAATCTCAATTCTTTGGTCAATGGGTGGAGTGAACAAATTCTGCATTGAACTGGTGACATCATGCAGCACAGTAACCACACCTCTGTTGCAATGATATAAAACTAATGAGGCAGGAACAAACAAGTTTCACAGTTTCTTCTTATTCTTACGGCCATCTAGACCCCTCTGAACAGCACGTGAAATGCAATAGGAAACCTGCTTTAGGAAGTTGCGTACTGATGTGCTTCCTTCCTTCAGATCAGCCGTCAGCCCTTTGATCACCTCATCGTTGCAAACAGCAGCAGTGGCCCTGATTCTGCTTGCATTAGATCGACAATGGTCCAGTGTTTTGATGTCCTGCTCAGTTCGATCCTCAATGTCTAGAACTCCATCTGTAACAAATGCAACATTTTAGAATAACTAATGAGAAACCAAGCACGCTCACACCGTAATCCTGCCTTCGTGGCACCCTCACGGCGTGCTTGACGGCGTGCCTCGAGTCAGGCCGCGGGCGGGCCGCGGAGGCCACTGCCTTCGCGGCACCGGCGTGGTTCCGGGTGGTTTCACGGCGACCCCTGCCCTGAGCCCCCTGTCGCCACCCCGACTCGTTGACACACGACCATGCCGTCACACCGTCGCCGTCGGTCACCTGAACGTCGGACTGCCGGAGCTGCCGCTGCACACCAACACCGACCGGCGCCTCGAGTAGCCGTTACCCGCAGCCGCGCACTGCGCGCCGCGGCCCACCCTGCTGAAGTCCGGTACGCGCGGACTGCCGCCGCAAGCGAGGCCCCCATCGAGGTGCCGCAGCCCGGGCCCCAGCGACAACAACCACCACGCACGTCGGCGCGCCGCTTCGCCGCCCCAAGCACGGCGCGTTCCTCAGAGCGTTTTCCTGAACCGGTGGCGTCCTGCTCGCACCCAGTGGCGAGCGTGGCGGCTTGCACGCCCCCGCCCTCGTCCCCGGCCGTGTCCGAGGAAACCCCCGTCAACCGGAACGTCAACCGGAAGCCAGACGGACGTCATCGCCGTTGCCCCCGGCCTCCTGCACCAACCGCCACCCCCGGGCTCAACCTGGTCGACCATAAGGCAGGCCAACCTCCCGACGTACAACGGCAAGACGGACTACGCGTACTTCAGTGCCCAGTTCCTTGCCCTGGCGGCGCAGCGCCCCGTGTCGGAGTGGGCCGAGGCCCTGGTGACGGCCCTGCGCGAGCCAGCTTCGCGTGTGCTAGCGAGCTTGACGGCTGCGCAGTTGAGCAACTTCGATGCACTCGACGCGGCCCTCCAGATGCGGTTTGGCCAGCCGCGCCCCCGCAATCAGGCCGTGCTAAGCCTCAAGGCGGCCCGACAGCAGCCGGACCAGACCCTGTGCGAGTTCGGTGCCCACGTCAGCCAGCTTCGCCGCGAGGCTTACCGGGACGATCCGGTACTCGGACGGAACCCCGCCGCCATGGAGAAGATCGTCCTGGACAACTTCCTGGCGGGCATCAGCGACGCGGCGCCTGCTCCTCATGTCCCGCCCCACCGACCTGCGGTCCGCCCTCACGATTGCGAGTGAGCTGAAAGACGCGCCCCAGGTGAAGCGCGTCCGCCAAGTGGACTCGGAGCCGCAACCGTGCCGCTCCGGGACAACAACACTGTCGTCCAGGCTCTCGCCTCTGTCCTGTCCGAGCTGGCGGCCGCCGTCTGCGCCGTCCGGCAGGCCGGCACCACCCCTACGCCCGCGACGCATCAGCACCACCCGTCGGCGAACGCGCAACCTGACCACCTGGCGGAGGCAAAGTCCCGCACGACGCTGTGGTCGCGCGACATTTGCCGCCACTGCAAGGAGGTTGGCCACGTTTTCCGAGACTGTGACGCCTGAGGTTGGACGGAGTGTGCGCGAGGTGTCCTTCCGATGAGGCCACCGACGCCCTGCCCGGCGACGACGCGGCCACCAACACCCTGCTCGTCGACGCGGCCTAGTTGGAGGGACCTCCCAGGACCTCCGCGCGAGCCCGCAGGTCCGCGTTCGACGTGCACCCCTGCGTCCTGACCCAGCCTGGCCCTCGTGGTGCCTGCCTCCACGGCGTGCTCGCAGTGCCGCCACGCCGGCCGTGAGTTCTGCACCGCGGGCTCCGACGCCAACACGGTGTGCTCGACGGCGTGCTTCCGCGGGTCATTCCGCTGCAGCAGTGCGACCAGGACATGTCGCCCACACCGCCCGAGAGGCTATTCGGCCTAAATCACGCTTCAGAATCGCTTTTTATGCACCTAGGCCCTGTCGCGGCTGAGTAAGTTGGCTTGCCTACCAGCACGGCGCACCGTGCCATCCGGCCGGCGCGTCCATTGTCGCCGAGTGCAGGCAATTCATTCCGTTGCTCCCACGGGCGCGTGCTTCGTCGCATCGGCCTGAAACTTGGAGGCCTTTGAAACAAGGTCCAGCCCCAGCAAAGTAACGTTGGTCGGGACTCCTACCCCCACTCAGTGAGTCGGCGGAAGGGGGTGAAGTGAGGGGTGGTTTCCTCTGGAAATGACACTTTTTTCGCTATTTTTTTCGGGAGTGTAGGAACGAGACATCACGTTGAAACGAACGTGACAAAATATCACGTTCGTTTGAGCATTGTGTCACGTTCGTTTGGATGTGAACAAGCTGATTTTTTGGCCAATTCACATTCACATTCGTTTGGGTGTTAATTGGTCAAAAAATCAGCTTGTTCACATTCAAACGAACGTGACACATCAACGTGATGTCTCGTTCCTGGAATGAGAGTGTAGTTGCTTAAGATAGGTGAAGAAAATAAACTTACCGGTAAAATCCCACACATTGGGGCGACGCTGAGCCACGGCGTCTTGAAACATTTTGTTCTCAGATTCCTGTGCATTATTGGTTCTGTCTTCTGAACCGCACACTGAGAGGACTGGGATCTTGGGCTTCCACGTCCTACACCAATATTGAAAGAGTTTCAGCATACTTGACATAACATTTTTCTTCCTTGCTTCTTTTCCAATGACTTTAAATCCCTCCCAAATCCGTCTGCGAGGAAGCAATGGAAGAGCACCCATCCACCGAACCAGGGTTCGAACAGGCTTGCTCTTCTTCATTACTTTAGCCATACGCAATTTTCTTGCTTTACCACCAACGTCCTATAATCAACAAACTACAGTTACTTTACCAGTCACATGCATCAGAATACATCCAATTTCCAGGAAAAGAGCCTGCCTTTGCATAGTGAAATAAGCAGCCACGAGATTCAGCATCGGGGAAGGCCTCCCGCAGAGCTCTCTGCTGAGCTCCTTCAAAATCAGACATGATTTCTTTAGGCCGCAGGCGAGGGGCTACTTCTTTTATTTTCTCCAATGCAGCTCTGTACGATGCAGTGGTTCGTTTTCGCATGAGAACTCTCACAAGGGGAATGACCTAAACCAAGGAAAAGAGAGGGAAAGGATTTTATGTGGACTTATTTTGGATTCAATCACGGCTAGAAATGACAACAAAAACAGTCATGAGTTGTTGCGCCACTATTGTTACTTCCGTACGATACACGGTAATAACGGTAGTACCCGGTTTTCCCAGGAAGCCAAAGGGGAAGGCAGGTGATTTCCAGGTGGTTCCTGGGAAAACCAGATACCGTTATTACCGTGAGGCAATTTCAAACGCGTCGGCCAATTTGTGTGCAATTGCACTGTGCAATATTTAAGGACGCCACTTACATCACATCTGTAATTTAAAGTGAAAGTATGCACCTTTGGTGCTATCACCAATGGAGAGTGCAATACACGCAAATCGTCCGACGTGTTCGAAAATGGCAGCTTCAGTAACAAATGATGCAATCACGGTGGGTTGCGACACTACCGGGTGTAAAATGTAACACGCAACGGGCGAGCGGGTTGCCTATGCTCGACTCGGTGGGCGCGCCGGAATGGAGCGGTGCTGTTAGGGGCGGTCATTGCGCCCCTGCGTCGCGGTTCACGCGTTTTTTCGCGGCATAGCGCCTTCGCGTCACCGCCACGTCTTGACTCAACGGTGCGCGAGGCCGCGAGGCCGCGAAACCGCGAAACCGCGGCGCCAGGACTTCAGGACATCGCGACTTCGCGTCACCGCGGACGCTCAGGACTCCAGGACTTTCAGAATCATGGGCCCGCGACAACGCGAAGTCCTGGAGTCCTGAGCGTCCGCGGTGACGCGAAGTCGCGATGTCCTGAAGTCCTGGCGCCGCGGTTTCGCGGTTTCGCGGCCTCGCGGCCTCGCGCACCGTTGAGTCAAGACGTGGCGGTGACGCGAAGGCGCTATGCCGCGAAAAAACGCGTGAACCGCGACGCAGGGGCGCAATGACCGCCCCTAACAGCACCGCTCCATTCCGGCGCGCCCACCGAGTCGAGCATAGGCAACCCGCTCGCCCGTTGCGTGTTACATTTTACACCCGGTATTGCTGCAGGGTAAATATAGAACTTACATGGTGTCGTCGCACTGTACTGATTGTCCATACTTGAGACGCTTTTACTCCACGGGGAACGGGGCTAAAAGTACCGTCAACAAAAATTTTTTTCACTTTTTTTGTGTACTTTGCCATTCTCTTGGTCATGAAAACAAGTGAAATTGTTCTTGCCGAAGCACTTCCCGCCCGTCCAGCGTACACTGAATCCTTCCCATCCATGGTACGTGACAGTAATCTGTAGCGCCTTTGGCGCAAAATCTTGTCAAAATCCTTCAGGCTGTGTGGAATTCTAGGGCGATTTTGCAGTCGTGCACGCTTCATAGACGATTTCAGTTTCACCTGAGAAAAACGTGCCGCAGCTTGTCTTGAAACACTGTGGAATGAGAAATTTTATCACTGTAGGAAACAAGATCAGCAGTGCTCACAAGTGGAGAGCGGGCGACGGCTGCTAGCACCTCGCTAAGTCACGGCAAAACCAACGTCCGGGTTTCCCAGGTGCACCCTGAAAAAAACAGAGCCTTTTTCCAGGGTGCGCCTGGTGCGCCTGGGAAACCCGGACGTTGGTTTTGCCGCGTACACTCTCATTCCAGGAACGTGACATCACGTTGAAACGAAACGTGACATATGTCACGTTCCTTTGAGCATTGTGTCAAATTCGTTTGGACGTGTGCCAGACATAAATTAACTTATTCACGTTGAAATGAATGTGGCACAATGCTCCGCAAAGGAACGTGACGTCCAGCATTCGTTTCAGCGTCACGTTCCTGGAATGGGAGTGTACGCGCCGCGAGTTTATGTGCTTTGTCACCCCAGCGAGGAAGCAACCACTTGAAATTAATTTGCACTCAAGATTCCTCAAAGGCCCCCATGTGAAGTAGGCACGCCCCCACGCAAGAACGCACAAAAATTAAACAACCAGTCTATTGTAGACGGTTAGTAGACGATTGTAGACATAGTAGTATAACGTAAAATAAAAAGAAAAAACAAGAGAGAAGAAAGAAGTTTGGAGCTGTAGCTTCCCTGTGAAGTTGGCGCGCCCCACTTTCATTAGAAGGTCACAAAAACATTACTCTAAAAGCCATTTTGTAAGTAGAGAATTGTAGACTACAAATTAGGCGGGCCTCTGCCGTTGAAAAAACTCCAGGGTCTTGGATGACGACTGGGGCACGCCACCTTCCTATTCCCACAAAAAAGAAGTTCATCAAGGTCACTTCCACCCAAAAAAGCTCGTCATCGATGGAAGATGATTGTAGACCAAAAATAGAGGCTTTTAAATTTGCCACCTCACCTTCCCTGGACTTAGGTTACAAATTTGGGGGTTGCCAACTTCCAATTTCTAAAAAAAACAAGTTAAAACAGGTAACTTTCATCTCACAATTCTTGCCTTAGTTAGTAGATGATTGTAGAGTATAAAAAAGCTGTCAAATCTATCACCTAACAGTCCCTTATAGTTAGGTTACAACTGGGGCTTGCCAACTTCCAACTTCCAGTAAAGAAACAGGAATCAAGGTAACTTTCACCTTTCAACAGTTGTTGTGATTAGTAGATGACTGTAGAGTACAAATAATGCTGTTAAATCTGTCACCTAACAGTCCCTTATGGTTAGGTTACAACTGGGGCTTGCCAACTTCCTACTTCCAGTAAACAAGCAGGTATCAAGGTAACTTTCACCTTTAAACACTTGTTGTGATTAGTAGATGATTGTAGAGTATAATTATAGTTGAGAAGTTTATCACCACCCAGTCTCTGGGACTTGGGTTACAACTGGGGCTTGCAAACTTCCAACTTCCAGTAAAGAAACAGGAATCAAAGTAACTTCCACCTTCCAACACTTGTTTTGATAAGTAGACGATAGTAGAATATAATAATAGTCAAGAAATTTATGACCACCCAGTCTCTGGGACTTGGGTTTCAACTGGGGCTTGCCAACTTCCAACTTCTATATGAAACAAGTAAAAACAGGTAACTTTCATCTCACAATTCTTGCCTTAGTTAGTAGATGATTGTAGAGTATACATAAAGTTGTTAAATCTGTCACCTAACAGTCCCTTATAGTTAGGTTACAACTGGGGCTTGCCAACTTCCAACTTCCAGTAAAGAGGCAAGAATCAAGGTAATTTTTACCTTAAACACTTGTTGTGATTAGTAGTTGATTGTAGAGTATAATTATAGTTGAGAAGTTTATCACCACCCAGTCCCTGGGACTTGGGTTACAACTGGGGCTTGACAACTTCCAACTTCCAGTAAAGAAACAGAAATCAAAGTAACTTTCACCTTCCAACACTTGTTTTGATAAGTAGACGATAGTAGAATATAATAATAGTCAAGAAATTTATGACCACCCAGTCTCTGGACTAGGGTTTCAACTGGGGCTTGCCAACTTCCAACTTCTATATGAAACAAGTAAAAACAGGTAACTTTCATCTCGTAATTCTTGCCTTAGTTAGTAGATGATTGTAGAGTATAAATAAAGCTGTTAAATCTGTCACCTGACAGTCCCTTATTGGCTGAGCGATAGCGAAGCCCGTTACTCAGGTGGGGTTGAAAAGTTTTGTCTGTCTGTCTGTGTGTGTGTGTGTCTGTCTGTCAGCACTACTACTCCTGAACGGCTCGGCCGATCTGGCTGAGATTTTGCACACTTCTTGGGTATGTCCTTGGCTCGGCACACGCGAAATTTCACCATCCTAGCTCAACTGGTTCAGTTTTTATAGGCGAAAAACACCTAAAAAACGGCGAAAAATAGAGATTTCTGCAGATAGACCACTTCTGTCTTGGGGAAAGGGGGGTCTGGGGGGCGGAGCCCCCCAGCCTCGACAAGTTAAAAAGTCACAAGGGTCAAGATCGTGTTATCTGTAGATAAAACGACTCTATTTAGAATGTAGGGGGGTCTGGGGGGCGGAGCCCCCCAGCATTCAACAAGTTAAAAAATAACCGACAACGGACAAGCCATTGCCTGCCGCAGGCAGGCTAGCGCCGCAGGCCAAGGTAGGTACGCCAGGCGTGGATTGGAGGGACAGGCAGCGAGACATCGCGAAGCCTGTTACGACAAGACGCGGTCTGGCGTAAACCTACCTTGTAGTTAGGTTACAACTGGGGCTTGCCAACTTCCAACTTCTATATGAAACAAGTAAAAACAGGTAACTTTCATCTCACAATTCTTGCCTTAGTTAGTAGATGATTGTAGAGTATACATAAAGTTGTTAAATCTGTCACCTAACAGTCCCTTATAGTTAGGTTACAACTGGGGCTTGCCAACTTCCAACTTCCAGTAAAGAGGCAAGAATCAAGGTAACTTTCACCTTTAAACACTTGTTGTGATTAGTAGATGATTGTAGAGTATAATTATAGTTGAGAAGTTTATCACCACCCAGTCTCTGGGACTTGGGTTACAACTGGGGCTTGGTAACTTCCAACTTCCAGCAAAGAAACAGGAATCAAAGTAACGTTCACCTTCCAACACTTGTTTTGATAAGTAGACGATAGTAGAATATAATAATAGTCAAGAAATTTTTCACCACCCAGTCTCTGGGACTAGGGTTTCAACTGGGGCTTGCCAACTTCCAACTTCTATATGAAACAAGTAAAAACAGGTAACTTTCATCTCGTAATTCTTGCCTTAGTTAGTAGATGATTGTAGAGTATAAATAAAGCTGTTAAATCTGTCACCTGACAGTCCCTTATAGTTAGGTTACAACTGGGGCTTGCCAACTTCCAACTTCCAGTAAAGAGGCAAGAATCAAGGTAATTTTTACCTTTAAACACTTGTTGTGATTAGTAGATGATTGTAGAGTATAATTATAGTTGAGAAGTTTATCACCACCCTGTTTCTGTTTCTTTACTGGAAGTTGGAAGTTACCAAGCCCCAGTTGTAACCCAAGTCCCAGAGACTGGGTGGTGATAAACTTCTCAACTATAATTATACTCTACAATCATCTACTAATCACAACAAGTGTTTAAAGGTGAAAGTTACCTTGATTCTTGCCTCTTTACTGGAAGTTGGCAAGCCCCATTGTAACCTAACTATAAGGGACTGTTAGGTGACAGATTTAACAACTCTACAATCATCTACTAACTAAGGCAAGAATTGTGAGATGAAAGTTACCTGTTTTTACTTGTTTCATATAGAAGTTGGAAGTTGGCAAGCCCCAGTTGAAACCCAAGTCCCAGAACTGGGTGGTCATAATTTCTTGACTATTATTATATTCTACTATCGTCTACTTATCAAAACAAGTGTTGGAAGGTGAAGGTTTCTTTGATTCCTGTTTCTTTACTGGAAGTTGGAAGTTGGCAAGCCCCAGTTGTAACCCAAGTCCCAGGGACTGGGTGGTGATAAACTTCTCAACTATAATTATACTCTACAATCACCTACTAATCACAACAAGTGTTTAAAGGCGAAAGTTACCTTGATTCTTGCCTCTTTACTGGAAGTTGGAAGTTAGCAAGCCCCAGTTGTAATCTAACTATAAGGGACTGTTAGGTGACAGATTTAACAACTTTATGTATACTCTACAATCATCTACTAACTAAGGCAAGAATTGTGAGATGGAAGTTACCTGTTTTTACTTGTTTCATATAGAAGTTGGAAGTTGGCAAGCCCCAGTTGAAACCCAAGTCCCAGAGACTGGGTGGTCATAAATTTCTTGACTATTATTATATTCTACTATCGTCTACTTATCAAAACAAGTGTTGGAAGGTGAAAGTTACTTTGATTTCTGTTTCTTTACTGGAAGTTGGAAGTTGTCAAGCCCCAGTTGTAACCCAAGTCCCAGGGACTGGGTGGTGATAAACTTCTCAACTATAATTATACTCTACAATCACCTACTAATCACAACAAGTGTTTAAAGGCGAAAGTTACCTTGATTCTTGCCTCTTTACTGGAAGTTGGAAGTTGGCAAGCCCCAGTTGTAACCTAACTATAAGGGACTGTTAGGTGACAGATTTAACAACTTTATGTATACTCTACAATCATCTACTAACTAAGGCAAGAATTGTGAGATGAAAGTTACCTGTTTTACTTGTTTCATATAGAAGTTGGAAGTTGGCAAGCCCCAATTGAAACCCAAGTCCCAGAGACTGGGTGGTCATAAATTTCTTGACTATTATTATATTCTACTATCGTCTACTTATCAAAACAAGTGTTGGAAGGTGGAAGTTACTTTGATTCCTGTTTCTTTACTGGACGTTGGAAGTTGGCAAGCCCCAGTTGTAACCCAAGTCCCAGAGACTGGGTGGTGATAAACTTCTCAACTATAATTATACTCTACAATCATCTACTAATCACAACAAGTGTTTAAAGGTGAAAGTTACCTTGATATCTGCTTGTTTACTGGAAGTAGGAAGTTGGCAAGCCCCAGTTGTAACCTAACTATAAGGGACTGTTAGGTGACAGATTTAACAGCATTATTTATACTCTACAGTCATCTACTAATCACAACAACTGTTGAAAGGTGAAAGTTACCTTGATTGCTGTTTCTTTACTGGAAGTTGGAAGTTGGCAAGCCCCAGTTGTAACCTAACTATAAGGGACTGTTAGGTGACAGATTTAACAGCTTTTTTATACTCTACAATCATCTACTAACTAAGGCAAGAATTGTGAGATGAAAGTTACCTGTTTTAACTTGTTTTTTTTAGAAATTGGAAGTTGGCAAGCCCCAATTGTAACCTAAGTCCAAGGGCAGGTGAGGTGGCAAATTTAAAAGCCTCTATTTTTGGTCTACAATCATCTTCCATCGATGACGAGTTTTTTTTGGGTGGAAGTGACCTTGATGAACTTCTTTTTTGTGGGAATAGGAAGGTGGCGTGCCCCAGTCGTCATCCAAGACCCTGGAGTTTTTTCAACGGCAGAGGCCCGCCTAATTTGTAGTCTACAATTCTCTACTTACAAAATGGCTTTTAGAGTAATGTTGTTGTGACCTTCTAATGAAAGTGGGGCGCGCCAACTTCACAGGGAAGCTACAGCTCCAAACTTCTTTCTTCTCTCTTGTTTTTTCTATTTTATTTTACGTTATACTACTATGTCTACAATCGTCTACTAACCGTCTACAATAGACTGGTTGTTATATTTTCGTGCGTTCTTGCGTGGGGCGTGCCTACTTCACATGGGTCCTCAAAGGTAGGGATTTCGCCGACATTTCGCAAGAATACGCAGGATTTCGCGTCAAACGTACGCCACATTTCGCGAGATTTTGATGGGATTTCGCAGATTGGATTTCGCTAGATTTCACAAGATTTTGAAAGGATTTCACGAAATTTCTATCGATTTCTCGTTAGATTTCGGCCAATCAAGTGTACCAGGTGATCCACCGACCCCAGGACAAATCGTTGCTATGCAACCCGCATCGAGCCGTGCGTATGCGGCATCCAAACGTCACCGGCGGCGCCGCAAACGATGCGTCCAATGGGCGGTGAGAGGTCAAGTGGGCAGTGTGCGGCAGCGGCGTGCTGTCAGTGTCGTCGCCGTCGGTCAGTCAAAGCGCGTCGTGTCACGATGGCATGGTTAGAGGGGAGAGTATGGGTGAGCCGCGTAAAGAGTGGGGAAATAAGCAAGAACGCACCGCAGCGGAACGGAGGGAGGACACAAAGGGGTGATTGCCCCTCACCTTCCCGAAACGCCTGAGAGTCGGCAACCCTCAACGGCTTCCCGCGAGTCACTGTTCACGCCCTGAACCATCCGTGGCACTCAGCTGGACGAGTGGCCACCTTAGATCGCATCTCCGCCCGCCGACTGACGGGTAGGCACGCCCGCACGCACGGCTCCATGCGGGTTCATATCAACGATTTGTCCTGGGGTCGGTGGATCACCTGGTACTCAGGATTTCGCGACTGGTTGCCCCGTCGCACCCCAGCTTGATAGTCTTGACTTGAGAGGCTGCAGGCCTCCTTTCGGCCGGCCCCCACGCTGGGATTCCCAAACGATTCAGGATTCAGGGAAGTCGTTTCGTCGCTGTCTCTGTCGCTCTCACATGGAAACTTCGTGAAAGTGGGAGGGAAACAGAGTGAGAAACCTATCTTTAGGATCCTTGAGCAAGTCTCAGCGATTCGAACCCTAAAACCGGACGTTTGAGACAAGGACTCAGTTCAACCGCGACAATGCGCGACTAATCATGATGCAGCAGCCAGGTGGAGGCTCGGACAAATTCGTGCTAATGAATCAACTTACCGCAAGCGTCTCCTCTCCTCGCTATACATGACGCGAAACGGAGTGTGGTCGCCCCGTCGACAGCGCTCCATCAGAGCGTGACGAAAGGCCCTTGCTTCCAATTTGTAGCGGTCAGGATCGTGGACATGCCTTTGCGTTCGCCGAAAGCCGCTTCCGTCACGGCAGGTCGATGCGCGGCCAGGGCACTTCTGCATGTAGTACTCAGTACATCGCATACTAATTCTTCCACCCTTCATTTGCGAGTGCACATGGTAGTCGTACTTGTCTGGACCACGCCAGAACCTGGTGCCTGGCCGTATCCCTGCCCCTGCCTGCATGCTGGCGCCCTTAAAAAAAACAAAAAACTTTTAAGTACGTTATGTCAAAAATTGACAGCCGGGAAAAATCAGTTTCCTCTTTATCTCCAGAACGCGTAAAACGACAGGGTCCTGTAAAAAGATAAAAAAAAATAGCACAGCCCTTTCCAGAAATTTGTTTATAACTACCTCCTTCCGTACTCCTTCGCCGTTTTTTAAATTTGTTTTTTTACACGTTAGTGAGATTAGATCATTCAATTGCAAGAAAGAGATTAGTAAAGAAGAAGAAATTTGTGGGAAAGCCTACTAATGATTTCCTAACAAGAACTGGCATCTATGCCTAAAACAAGACGTGGATTTAAAAGCGCGTTCGGGAGATATTACAGAAACTATAAAAATGAATTTTGTTTTTGGCTGCCAACCCTTGCAACCACGCAGCGCCGCGGTGCGCGCTCTGTCACTTGTGGCCTAGGCTGCAGGCCGCCAAGTAGAGGTAGGAGCTGCTGCCGCGACGTCACCGGAAAGTGCCGGCCAGCCCGCTGATCGCTCACTTTGCGGAGGTGACGGCCGCCGTGCAACCCGCCGCGGCCCCACAAGAGCCTCAGCCGTCCACGTCGACGGCCAGTGGGCAAGGATCCCCGCAGACAGAGCAACGGAAGCAATGTTCGGAATCGCTCTGCTTGCGAGTGCCGGTGGAGCCCCTGCGAACACGAGGTAGGCAGCCACGCAGCACTGCAGTGCGCGCTCTGCCGTTGTGGCCTACGCTGCAGGCGCTATACCCACGACACGCACAGCGGAGCGATGGCCACCGAACGGACCACGGCCCCCCCTCCTTCCCCTCTCCTCCCTGCCGCTGCTCGACGCGAACGAAGGAGCATCGTTGCCCAACCGGCGTAGTTCTGGGCAGTTCACGGAAAACCCTTGACCTGAGCCCCCAGTCACGCCGCCCCAACTCGGCCAACTCGAAGCATGCCGTCGAATCGACGACCCCGGCAGCCTCCGGCGCGTCCCCGTGATCATCCCCAACGCCGTGCAGCACGACGCGCTGCTGCGACCCGTTCGCGTCCTACGCACTCACCGAGGTGCTGCACCAGTGCCCTGGCGGTCAGCCCGGGTCAGCCCCGTACGAGTAGGCCGGTTCACCCGCTCCACGCACTCCCCGGCCGGCTTCCCCTAGGCCGAGAACATGGTGGCGTCCACCGCGTGCAGCTCCAGCGGTGAGCGCGGCGGCCTCCCGGCCCCCGCTCTAGCCGCACCGGAGGCATAAGCCCCGTGCAGCGCGAATGCACAACCTGGGTCCACGTGTGCCTGCCCTGCAAGCGCACCAAGGTGACCCGAGCCCCCAGTCACGCCGCCCCGACTCGGCCAACTCAAACCATGCCGTCGAATCGACGACCCCGGCAGGAAGATGGACTACAGCCTCTACTGGGCGTAGTTCCTGGTCCCGGCCGCGAGCCGCCCCGTGTCCGAGTGGGCCGAGTCCCTGGCAGTGGGGCTGCGTGAGCCAGCGAGCCACGTACTGGGCATGCTCTGACGGCGGCGCAGCTGTCGAACTTCAACGAGCTGGACAGCGGGCTGCAGACGAGGTTCGGGAACCGTCGGGAATAGACAACTTGAGCGAGGTGAAAGAAGAGGAAGAAAATACCTTCCCGAACATGGCGGACGGCCGCCGTCGGCTGCTAGGACCAGCCACTTTCGGGAAGGTCTTTTCTTCCTCTCCTTTCGCCTACTCAAGTCGTCCATTCGCTGCAGGCGCGAGGCCCCCGACATGCATGGCACCAGCGTCGCTGCCGGCCAAATACGCGCAGGCCTCCAGACTGTTGCCATGGAGCGTCTCGTGCAATCTGTCTCCCTCGCACCCCTACGCATCGTCATGAGTGCAACAGAGACAGAGCAATGGCAGCGATTTGCGAGTGCCGGTGGAGCCCATCGGGTTTGAACCACTTACTCGTTCCGGAACACTACTTTGGAGGGCTTCGTATGGGAAATCCAGGGAAAGCCCGCATCTCCGATTCTGCACCCCCCCCTCCCACATATCACAGCCGTCTATAGGGGTTCGAAGGCCGCCAGCGCTATTTGCAGAACGAACTAGTTTCGTGGTCTTTATTGCAATTTACAAGAGTGTGAATGATATAGAAAGGTCATGACGATCATCCTCGAAGTTTTATCTTTCAAAATATGTATGGGTCGACCCCGTTCGGCGGTTTTTTAAGAATTTCGGGAAAGGCCCGGAGTGGCAAGAAGCTTAAGGCGACAGCTGGTCCCCTGAGCGCGCGCGTGCGGCGCTCCCTCTCGCCCTCTCTCTCTCTCTCCTCTCTCTCTCTCTCTCTCTCTGAGGCTGAGCTGGCAACACAGCCTCCATCTTGCTTAGCGCGCGCTGCAACGGCTCAGACCAAAGCACTTCTCCAGTAAGTAATTTCACCTTAAAATTGCTTAAAATCGAAAAAAATTAAGTTACTATTGCATAATTGATAAACATTATGGATTCAATTTGCTTCCTAGATGGTTTTATAGAAATTTCGATTATCTTTCCACATGTGTAGGCTAGCGTAAGGTGGCCTTGCAATGCGTGTCCGCCCGTCCGACGTCCTAATTTGGCGTTTTCCTTGAGAAAATTTCGCATGTGATGGTTTGAAATGGTAAAGAATAGTAATTTACTTCGAATTCCTGTTATAATTGGTTCAAATAGTGCTAATAATCGGAGGACGGACATGGCCGGACACTCATTGTAAGGCCAGCTTACAGCTCGGTGTGTCGGTGGTGCATTTTACCGTGTCCTTGCCTTTCTCGACTTATCATCTTCATTACTGATTATCTACCCATGCTAATTGACAGTTCCTCAACCATTGTTTAGAGCTACATCACTTTAGATTACCTAGTTCAGTAAGTTCTGAGTCGAAGCTTCGTCGCCTGGCAGAGTTGCGACCATGTACGATAGGTTAGGTTTCTTGCTCAGCGCCAAAAACATTTCAGTCTGTCCACATCTACTTGCAATGGCGCACAATTAGTTGCACATTCCTGTTGTGGGAAGTTATCATAATGAATGAATGAATGAAGTTAAATGTAAATTTCCAACTAAAGGTATATTTATGCCTTGGTTTATAAATCCTTTGTCTTCTTGTCACCAAAATATATTCTTTTGTCTTCAGTTCAGATTGTACATTGTTAAAATTGGTATTATTCCTATTGCAAGAATTCGTTTCTAAATGTGCAGGCTGCATGGTGTCACTAAACTATAACAAGGCCCTATACAACACCCACTAATTCCAAACGGAATAATTGCTCGAGCTTAAAAATTGGAACTCTTGCGTTAGAAGTACAAGACTAATCTCTTCGAGCAAACTTCCAAACCTCTAATATTTTTAAGAAGCAAGGAAGCTTCCTTCGACTGTGACTATACTCTTTTTATATTTAAAAAAAAGGAAAAAAACAAAAAAACATGTTATAAACTTTCAGTTTGCCAGTTTTAGGGAAACATTTTAAAGAGCATGAAACTGTGACAATATTTTAGGGTTTTAGTTCCTTGTGCTTGCAAGGTACTAGTTAGATGAATTTTTGAAACTGTTCTGTCTTCTTTTTTCAGGGATGCCGAGGAAAAGGAAAGATCAGCCAAGGCAGAACTGGCAAGGCCCGCATGGCCAATTTAATTTACCACCACACCAATCAGCATACCCCCCGCGCCCCACCCACTATCCTTACCCTCATGCTTCATTTCCCGCCCATCATGTAGCCCATTTCCCCCAGTACCCGACAGTTCCAATTCATGCCCAATATCACCCACCCGCCCCATATCCACAGCCCACCTACTTCCCATACCAAAATTACTACGCCCCTCCTGCAGCTCCAATCCCTCCCCCGGTCCGTGTGCCTGAAACACAGAAGATTGCTGCTTCTGCTGCTACTGCAGTTCAGAATGTTACCGCACAGGCATCATCCACACTTGCAAGCAGTTCAAACGCATCTACAGCTGCCGCTGCTCTTGTCACCCCCACCTCAGTGAGGGCACCAAAGGAAAATGCTGCCCCTGTGACAACCCAACCAACTGTACCTGCACCTCAGACCACTGACACCACTGAGAAAATTGAGAAGAAAAAGAAGAAAAAGAAGAAGACAAAGAAAGCAAAGAAAAGAAGCAGAAAACTTTCTTCAAGTTCGTCCAGTTCGAGCAGCAGTGGATCAAGTACTAGCAGCAGCTCCTCTAGTAGCAGTAGTGCCAGTGAATCATCTGAAGTAAGTACTTAATTTCTTTTCTAAGAGCACCATGTATAATATTTTATTTGACAATCACTAATTTTCTGTTTTCTGCTCTGTTTAGAAATCTGTTCCGCCGCCCCAAAAAGGAAAACAAGAAACAAAGAAAAGCAAGGAAGAGGAATCAAAGGCAAATGCCGAATTCCAAGCCATGGTGGTGAGTTAATTCCAAATTGCTGTTCAAAGAGCTTTCCATCAAAATAGGACCCACTATGAAATTTTGTAGGAAGCACAAAGTCTTCCTGGGTGAACATTGATGTTTTTAATTGGGAGTAACATGCCGATTTCTAAACTATTTAAGTTTGGTCCTTTTTTTAAAATTTCCAAGTGCGTACTACTTTAATGTAAAAAGTTGACATGTAAATTTTTTGCTTTTGTCTTTTTTTAACGAAAGATCCCAGGATGCACAACTGATTAAGTTCATACCAATTAATTTATGACATGTCCAAAAGAAATACTTCATGTTTTCTTTTTTCATTTAAAAGAGACGCGGAACCCTTATCTTTGATTTGGCCTTTGGGCTCTGGTTGTTCTCTGTGACAAACATTTCACTTGCTCACAGTTTAAATGTGTGCTTCCAGTCAAGACTTGTCTTTACGAGTGCCTTATGTTTGTGACAGCTCACACCATTGGAGCACAACATTAACTTGCTTCATGATAGCAAATGCTTACCTTGGCCTGGATAGGCTATGTTAATATCGAGACAGTGGATTCTTATCGTTTCTGACACTTTGGTTTCATTGTTTTGTTACAGGAAACTCTTGAACAAAAGCCTAAGAAGAGGGGGCGTCCCCGAAAATACAAGCCAAAAGGTATGTATTTGGCATGATGTTTGTGCAACCCTATTTGAACTAAATAATTTACAAACTGCTTTCCTTCTGTTGCAGAGCTTATTGATCCGTAATTTATGATTATGCTTTATGAGTTATGATTAACGCTGGTGGTGTTTTTCTATGTTCTTCATCTCTTAATGCTCTAATTTTCTATGTTCGGTCTTTTAATTTTGGATTATGATTATGCTTTATGAGTAATGATTAATGCTGATGGTGTTTTTCTATGTTCTTAATCTCTTAATGCTCTAATTTTCTATGTTCGGTCTTTTAATTTTGGACTATGCATTTGCATTGGTTTAGTTTGCTTTATCTTTTAATTGTTTATTTTGAATGGATCATGGATCCTGTTTGATTCAATAAATGTTCGTTGTTTACCCTTGAGACACTGTATGTTGTGATTAATTTATTCGCCAATCTAAGGCAAATGCACTTCAGTAACTTCAAAAAAAGGGAACACAAGGCATAAAGTAGTGATTAATTTATTCGCCAATCTAGGACAAATGCACTTCAATAATTCAAAAAAGGGAACACAAGGCATGAAGTATTCATAAATCTTTTACTACAATTTATTAGAAGGAATGACAATGATAGCGTCAAGCACAGCTTGTGGCACTTACTGCTGTTACATTCAAATTACACCTCGCAAAAGTTATTTTATGAATCGAACTTATTGCTCATAGTCACTTGCACTCCAGTCTGGAGGTAACATCAATAAACAGAATACTTACATCCAGCCAGTACATGATAAAACATGAAGCCTAAAGAACAGCAACCTATGTTCTGACATGGAAAGCAAAGCCAGAAAGTAAATACAGTTCGACTATTGCATACGTATAGGTAGGCTATAGCATCACTGTCTAAGAAGATTCAGTTTTCAAACCGGGTATTGGTGGTGTTCTATTTTTCTCTTTATTCTACACGCTATCATCACATTGCTTACTTATGAAACATAAACATTAATTCGTTTAGAAGCAATTTTTCGACTGCAGACTGGTCACAGTGTCTAGCAGACGACTGAGGAGAATTTTCATACCAACGTTTCAAAATTGCCGTGCGTGGACCAGACTGTCCGACATTTCTTTAAAGTAGACTGATTCTGTTCAATATTGATATTTTGAAAACAATGTACCGTGGTTTTAACTTCTTCAACTGGTTTTGAAGCGTGTTGACCGCTGTCACAGTCCGTAAAAAGGCACTGGTTTGCTGCGGGACAGGTTAGCAAGCCTGCAAGGGAGAAAGCATCAAAAGAAGGCGGCGACTCCACTCTCTTTCACTAGCGACATCAATCTACAATCAATTGGGAACATTTCCCCAGCAGGCCCCAGAATCATTCAAGGTACGTGATATCCTGGTATTAAAATTAAGCTTTCGTTTTTCTTAGCACTCACTTTGACAGTTTGAAATGTCAGTCGCCGAGCAATCACCCTCCACAGCTGACCTAACCTCTCAAAGTAGGCAACTAAATTTCATGAACCATTAACTCAAATTTGTGCGGAACTTAAAATTCAATCGTGTTATTAACACCCAACAGTAAAATGAATGTGTTCGCACTGCAACTTGCATGCCTCCTGCCATGGTTAAACGCGCACATCATTCTTTTCACCATTGAGGTAGAGGGTGTGTACAAGATGTGCTAATGGCATGTTTAGTATCTGCGTGTACGTTTACTGTTAAAAATTTGTTTCACTGAAACGAATTAATGGGTGAAAACTTTTTTGTTCTGAAACGTGGAGTGTCATCATGAACGAAAGCTTAATGAATATTGTTTCATCCAGAAAGCGACCATTTGTCGTAGAAGAACAAAATTATAAATGCTGCGTTTAGTGTATGACTAATTCTTTCATCATTATCTGTTTAATTCAAAGAAACTTTTAATAATGTTAAAACGACAATCATTTGAGCTTTTTATTAGTCATAATGAGAGTAATACTGTCGGAAGTGGGACAATCAAAAATTAAGTCAGTGACAAAAGCATTCAAGCAGTTGTATGTGTCTTAGACATTACCTTTTACATTGACTGACAATCCAGGTATTGTGAAGTCAGGTTTGTCGCTGACTAACAACATTTGTTTCAGTTAGCAACTTGTTTGTTGGAATTATAAGTTTTTTTTTGTTCTGGAAATATTCTTTTGTTGCTATATGTCAAAGGTCCAACAAGCTATCTGGAGTCCGTAACAATTACTCATACTAAAAAAAAGAATTAGCATCAATTTGTTGCAAAGCAATCATAAAATATTTATCAGTGAAGACAGGGCACTGATTTCGCTTAACTTCTTATTTATCTCTTCTCTACGGAACGCTCAATGACTGGTACCGCACTGGTGGGGATCAAACCACAAATTTCCACTATAGATTACCAAATGCACTTATAATCTGAATAAGGACTGGGTCACAGACACAGATTGCGTACGAGCGTCCTTGGCTTGGGTCACCAAGAGTGTACTTTTTCACTTAAGTACTTCAGCAAGTAATTGTTGTCTCCCCTGACCGTAAGACGCAACCCTTTTGGTCCAAGCGAATCACCCAGACCGCTCCGCTCCCGTGGCTCTGCCGCTCCACCCAGTAATTGTGAAACGCCAGAGTAACAGGGCTACTCCGTGGGATCCTTGGGAGCGGTGGCGGTGGCGTGGGCCCTAACCGGGGATTGCAGCGGCGGGGCTCGAAACGGGGACGGCGGCGGCCGGGGTCGAACCGGGGAGGGCGGCGGCGCACAGTAAAAGCTCTACGAAGAATCGCTTCGTAGTCATTTAGGCCGAATAGCCTCTTGGGCGGTGTGGGCGACATGTCCTGGTCGCACTGCTGCAGCGGAATGACCCGCGGAAGCACGCCGTCGAGCACGCCGTGTTGGCGTCGGAGCCCGCGGTGCAGAACTCACGGCCGGCGTGGCGGCACTGCGAGCACGCCGTGGAGGCAGGCACCACGAGGGCGCTGCGGGGGAGCTGGCGGGCGCGGTGCCGTGCTTGCGTTGAGCGGCCTGCGTCGCGGCACTGCTAGTACGCTGTCAAGTACGCCGCAGCTGCGCCGCGAGCGCTCCGCGAGGGCGCCGCAAAGACGCTCACGTCCACGGCGTCGTACTTGTGGCGCGCGGCCTGCTTCGCGGCATTGCGAGCATGCTGTCAATCATGTTGTGAAGCACGCCGGGAGGGCGCCCGCGCAGCAGTCCGCGAGGCACCCCTCCAGCACCTCGGTCAGCGCGAGCGCGGCCGGCGTATTTGACCCGGCACCATGGTGCGCGTGACGCAAAGCTTGACACGAGGATTTCTGCACAACGCGTGCAGGCTGAGATCGCGTCCATGTGTGGTCAACCAAATGCATTGACTTACCTTGGGGATCGCTCGCGAGGATCTTCATTTCCTGCATTGTCATGTCTTGCAGCAGCTTTCTTTCGGCGAAGCCTTCTGGCCTCCTTAGATGTCTTTTTTGAGTGTTTTTGCTTCTTTTGGTTGGCCATGTTTCCGAAACTTCCACTGACGCAAACACTCGTGCGCGCGCAAAAAAAAATACTATTGTGTCGCTGGGTGGTGGGTGAGGGTTAGAGGGGGCGAGTCAGGGATCGAGGGAAAGGCGACTGGGAACGCAGGTGGTTTATTGGTCAAACGGTGATGAGCGCGAGTACTCCTCGTGTCGCGGTCGGCAGTGCTCTGGGCCCGGGGCGCGCCGGGGTGTCACAATTTATCGGTTTTTCCGATGCTCGGCCTTGGCCGTGCTTGGTTGCCCAGGTGCTCGGCTCGGCTCGTCGGGGTAGGGTGCCGGGGGCCGTCAGGAAGCCAGGGCCCAACAGTATTATGAAGCAAAATCCTTCGTAATACAAAGCAATTCTATAATGCCTTCATTTTCTTTGTAGTTATGAAGCTAATGCGTCGTAGGCTTTTAAGAGTGCGGGGCCCGAACCGGCGGCGGGCCGTTCTTCGTCGGCCTAGGCCGGCTTCACTCAGTCAATGGACATACGGACTCCCTTGCCGCGCACCCGCAACGTGCGTCTTGTCGTTGCGGGCCAGCAATTCGTAGGCGCCAGTCTACGGCGGCTGGAGACAGCGGCGCACCAAGTCAGTCCGCAGGAAGACAAAGGGTGCCGTGGCGAGGTCCTTGAACACGAAGGTGCTAGGCTGGCAGTGCCGCGACGCGGGCGCCGGCCGCGACACGGGCTGCATGGAGACGGAGGCGCTCCAGCAGCGTGGTCCAGGCGCGGATCCAGAGGGGGGGTGCGATGGGGGCGTCCCCCCCCCCCACTTGAAGGCGGCCAAGCCACCTGAAAGGTAGGCAGAAAGTCGCACATAACCCCTGTAGGTAGGCAACTTTCACGACGTCGCCCCCCCTGAACCCGTCTCTGAATCCGCCCTTGGCGCAGCGGCTCCCCGTAGACGAGCTCAGCGGCGCTAGGGGATGTCTTCCTTCTAGGAGGCGGCGCGGAGATCGAGGACGGTCGGAAGGACCTCAGTCGGCCTCAGTCCACTGCTCATCAGCACTGCCGTCAGATTCCGAACACTGCTTCGTCACTCTGTCTCTCTCGAACCCCTACGGACCGCACCATAAGTGCGAGAGAGGCAGAGCGACGGAAGCAGTGCTCGGAATCAGACGGCTTTTATTCAACGAATGTCACGTCACATTCCTTAGAATGTGAATTTTGTCACATTCGTATAGATGTGATGTCACATTCGTATAGATGTGATGTCACATTCGTATGAATGTGATGTCACATTCGTATGAATGTGATGTCACATTCCTTTGAATCCACGCTTAAACGAATGTGACACCCGCATCAGACAGCCGCACGATGGCCGTGTAACGTTCAAACGAATGTGACATCGCACTCAAACGAACGTGACAAAATTCACATTCTAACGAGTGTGATGTCACATTCGCTGAATAACAGTGTAGCGTGGCCTATCAGTGGGGGCGGCAGCGGACGGTGCAGGCGCTCGGCAAGGCCGGAGGATAATCGCGAGCGAAGTCAAGGCAGAAGCGATCGTCCATAGATACCGGTAATAGTAGGCCGATGGGTTCGACGTGAACATCTTCGAAGTGCGAAGCGACCCGTTGATATCCACGAGGACCTGCTGGTTTGGAAACAAGCCTACGGGGCGCTGAAATCGGCGAGCGGGGTGCAGGTGTCAAGTCACGTTGGTGCGCTTGCAGGGCAGGCACACGTGGACCCAGGTTGTGCATTCGCGCTGCACGGGGCTTATGCCTCCGGTGCGGCTAGAGCGGGGGCCGGGAGGCCGCCGCGCTCACCGCTGGAGCTGCACGCGGTGGACGCCACCATGTTCTCGGCCTAGGGGAAGCCGGCCGGGGAGTGCGTGGAGCGGGTGAACCGGCCTACTCGTACGGGGCTGACCCGGGCTGACCGCCAGGGCACTGGTGCAGCACCTCGGTGAGTGCGTAGGACGCGAACGGGTCGCAGCAGCGCGTCGTGCTGCACGGCGTTGGGGATGATCACGGGGACGCGCCGGAGGCTGCCGGGGTCGTCGATTCGACGGCATGCTTCGAGTTGGCCGAGTTGGGGCGGCGTGACTGGGGGCTCAGGTCAAGGGTTTTCCGTGAACTGCCCAGAACTACGCCGGTTGGGCAACGATGCTCCTTCGTTCGCGTCGAGCAGCGGCAGGGAGGAGAGGGGAAGGAGGGGGGGCCGTGGTCCGTTCGGTGGCCATCGCTCCGCTGTGCGTGTCGTGGGTATAGCGCCTGCAGCGTAGGCCACAACGGCAGAGCGCGCACTGCAGTGCTGCGTGGCTGCCTACCTCGTGTTCGCAGGGGCTCCACCGGCACTCGCAAGCAGAGCGATTCCGAACATTGCTTCCGATGCTCTGTCTCTGTTGCATTCATGACGATGCGCAGGGGTGCGACGGAGACATTGACGGGACGCTGTCTGCTGCACGCGGGTTGCATACCTTTCCTTTTGTTTCGGTTTCTGGGCCACCCGATTGTCACTTCAGTTTTGTAACTTTTGGCATATGATTTACACGGTAAAAACGTTACCTGTTTTGTCTTTTTTAGGAAGCCTATGGTAGGGGCACAGGGTTTTTCCAGGGAGTTCCTGGGTAAACCAGGATCCGTTTTCACCGTGTACTTTGTCGATCTCAATTTTTCAGATGCCGAGGTACCGCCCACGTGCACCCCGTCATCCACCATACCTGCCCCCTTATCCACCCCCACCCTATCAGCCGTATCCGCCTCCGTACCCCTACCAACCTTACCCACAACCTCCAATCCCACTCCAGCTTCCCTATGACCCCTATCAGCACCCATACCCCCTCCCAATCCCTGCCCCATATCTACCTCATCCTCCGGTTCCGCATTATCCCTATCAGCTCCCACCAAACTTCCAAGGTCCATTTCTCCACCCTACCCAACCCTACTTATTGCCCCCCCCTCAGCCGATTCAGGAACTTCTGGAAGAAGCACCACCTGAGCCTCACCCCGAACAAGAGGACCCCAATGAAGAAGTACCTGCTCCGGTGCAGCATCAGCAACCAGAGGCAGCACCGGAGCCTCAGCCGCAGCCTGACGCAGCACCGGAGCCTCAGCCGCAGCCTGACGCAGCACCGGAGGAACATGCCCCTATAGTTGTAAGTGGCTTTCGGGGGTTTAACTTGTTAACTGGTTTGGGACATTGTCGTCTCTCGTCGTGTGCGCCATTTTTCTTCTTAAGCGCGTGCACATTTTTCTCTGTTGTAAATTGCGTCAGGGGTAGCCGTGAACGATGAATTTTAAATGTTAATACATCTGTATCTGTATGCCCACAAGCATGATTTAGTTATCATCATTGGCAACACTTTTCATTGTTTCAGATTGATGGCTTCGTTTTAGACCCCACACCGCCATGCAGCCCGGCTCCCTCGCACGTCAGCAGCGATGCAGGTGTACGTATAAAAATGTGTAGTAGGCTTTCAATAACCAAAACCATATGAAATTCTATATTTTATGATTGGTGCCTGGTAAACCGTAGAACGGGGTAATATGAGACATGAAGGAAAATCGAGACAAAGCGCACTTTTTTCGGTTTTTGTCGTGTTGCTGTATAGCGGTTGTTCAGAAGTCCACCGTGAATTTTTTTTCGTGATCTAGGAGGCCATGGCAACTCACGGGAAGCGCACGAGGGCTATCAGAGACTCGCCAGGGTTATTTAGAACCAAAGGAAAAACCTCTAAATTCTAACAAGTTTTATAAAGTTAGTAAAAACCTCCCCAGAAACCACGGTTAGAACTCGGGTTCTCGTCCGAACGAGGTTTAAATCTGTAGGCAATTATGTCAACATAATCAGGACAAAATTTGGTTCCGTTGTGTCTACTCCCGGGCTGCCTGTTCCAGATGGAATACAATTTTGTTACCTTGCAGGGAAAATAGAGACACCTCTTTTCGCTTGAAGCATGAGGCCAAACATACTCCACTGTTAATAATTTCAAGAAACAATGGTTTTAACACGGATTTGTTTTACTATCTGACCGGCATCTATGCTCTTCGTTTAGTATTTTCATGTGACAGGCACAACTCATGCCTTTTTATACATTTTTCAGCTCTCTTTAATGACACCCATTTTTCTCCCCTCCAGATTTTATATCGTCTCCATTATAGTTTCCAATCATCTTTAAAATGTGTGAAAAGAACTTTGAAAGCTCCAAACCCGCCTAAATGAGTTATTTCTCTATGCTTCTTTAACGTTTCTTTCTTTTGTCTCATATTACCCCACATTGCAGGGAAATATGGGACGGCATTCCGAGGGTTATTGAAAGGTCCCTACTGCACCTAAAAATCTGAAATTTGGTGGGAGTGTAGCCAAAGGGTCAATGAACAAGTGATAAACACCTCAGTACGTCAAATTGAAACTAAAAGGGGAAAATTCACAAAAAACCTCGAAATTTGTCTCATATTACCCCGTTCTACGGAACATAATGAAATGAGAGGCTTAGCATCTTACCAATTCTTTTCTTAATCTTATTAATTTACTATCGTATAAGTAGGACCAAATCTTTCAGCTTCCAATTAATCCTGTGTTGGTCTTTCATGTCACACACGAAGTAATAGAGCTGATCAGAAAAAGGGAATGCTTGACTTTCCAAGTAAAGTTTTCATTTCATTATTGTGCATTAGAATGGATAACATCAATACACCAAATTATTTGACTCAAGCAATTCAGGAGAAAATACACTCAAAAACATGGATGAAACTGTCCTTTTTTGTGTCTAAAGTTCCTCAGAAAATGGAGAAAACTCAACTAAAGTCCACAGCACTCCGTTGCACAGAATGGCAAAAGGAGAGAACTCAGCTTGAATTCTCATTAATCTTAAGTAAAAAGAACCAACTAAATTTACTGCTCCTTTCTTTTAGAACACTAGTTGAGAAATAGAGGTAACTCTATAAAATGTGCAAGGGCAGTGATTGTAGACTCAACGCAGACCTTAGCTCCCAGTGAATTGTCTTCAAATTCCACTTCTTGGGAGAACCACACTCTCATTTCAGGAATGTGACGACCACGTCGAAACGAATGTGACAAAGTGTCACGTTCGTTTGAGCATTGTGTTTCAGTCATTTGATGTGAATCAGCCAAAAAATTGCTTGTTCACATTCAAACGAATGTGACACAATGATCAAACAAACGTGACATTTTGTCACGTTAGTTTCAACGTAATGTCATATACTTGGAATGAGAGTGCAGGTGAACATGGTTCCGTAGTCCATTCTAACGTACAGATTCAAATCACAAACCTCGTCTACCAAGTGATGTTCCACATTCGAAATTTTTTTCATGTTCTACAAATGCTTTTTTGACTTCAATCCATCATTATCATTAATTTATGTTTACCTTCCCCTGCAAACAGTTTTATGTTTCTCCTTAAAAATAATGAAAATTGAGCTATCCCCTTCTTCGGCTTTATTTAACAGCTATTTTCCTTGCCTCCGTGCTAAATTTTTTGCGGGGATGTAAGAATTCTGTAACAATACCTAAAAATTCAGCACAAAACAATAAAATTTACAGTTCCTTTTTATTATTATTAAATTATTATCTCAGTTCCTGTTTTTATAGGAGGTCGGTTTTGCATGTAAATCTCCCTGCTAATGGAGTAATATAATTGGCAGGTACAGCATGCCCCGTGGGATTATGAAGAAGAACTTCGATTGGATGTATCCACTGAAGAGGAGGCAGATGACCCACTTCCTGAGCAACATCCCCAGCAACCAGTGCCCAATGATGATCCACCACCCCCTCAACCACCTCCATCACCGGAGACGGGGGTGATGGTCTCCTGTAAAGTTTGCATGCTAAAACCACCATTGTACACCATCACACCATGTCGTCACATTGGCCTGTGTGACGTTTGCCGCAATGTCCTGGAAAATACTATTGTGCGCTGTCCAGGTTGTTTTGACACCCATTATATTCGGTGCGAAAGAACTTACACTTAGACATATTGTAATACTTGACTTCTATGAGTGGTAGCAACCAAAAGAAGTGAAAAGAAAAGTGACACCAAGTATCATTTGCCCCTCTGGGAGAAAAATCATTGAAGTTTAGAAGTGCTTGAAAAAGCAGCTGAAAATTCTTAATAGAAAACGATTTCTTTGATTTGTTTAAACGAATCCTGCACTTAAGTTTCATGTACGACTGATTTTTGAATGCCTCTAATTTTTTCTACCTGTCAAAATGTTTCATTCTATGCTGATCCTTTATAACGTAAAATGCTTCAAATGTGTGCAACAATAGGCCATGTTAAGAGTTATAAAGCTAGGGTTTCCAGGCTTCTCCGCTGGAAAGCTTTCAGTATAAATGTCCCAATTTGCTGTACGGCTATCAAGCTGAGGAAATTCAAACTTCACCAGTCACAGATAGGGCGAGGGGTGTGGCGGCGAATTGTGAGTTGTGAAGACTCCCAGCCTCAGCCCTGGACCTATCTGTGTATTGTGAAGTGTGAATTCCCTCAACTTAAAATAGCCAATGACCTCTAGTTCTGAGACTGCTTAGTGGATCTGGGAGCAGCTTTCGGATAAAAAGTTTCCATTTCAATTTATCGGAACATAGTATTTTCACTCCCTCGAACCTGCTGTCACGTCCATAAAATAGTTCGTGAAACTTGATGTAAGATGTAAATACTCGCCCGAACCAGCCCGAGTCTGGACGCGAAGCGAAACGAGCGACCTGACGAGCGACCGTCTTCGTGCGGAACCACACGAGCCGCAGACGTGCGACCGACGTGCGACGCGTCTTCGTGCCTTTGGGCACGAGCTCGGTCGGAGCGGGTGGAGAAGGGAAGGGTGGGGGAGAAGGCAGTTTGCAGTTCGCTCCACTTTATTTGCAGGTGCGTGGTGCGGATAGCAGCTGCGCAAGATGCTTGTCGGATTATGTGTTTTTAATAGAGCTGCCGCTGCAGCGTGTTCTTTACATGTAATTATTTTGATAAATGGTATAGAAAGGCGTAGGAGTAAGTTTGACGCCGATACGTTGGCCGATTTCGACCGCGAATGTAGCCTCACCCCCCTCTCTCCGCCCACTCCGAGTCTGTTGTTGTCTGTCTCCGTGCAGTTCAAACCGTCAACGGACGAAGTGGCCACTCGATATCGGGCAATGTCTTTTTACGGAATAATAATGTGTCTGTGAGCAAGTGATTACTTCTGAGCCGGGGCGTTAAGGTTCGGTGCTTCTCTGCGTTTCTCTTCATGTCCCGTCCCGTTCCGAAACTGTGCAGATTGATTGGCAACAGACTCGTTGTTGATCGAGTACTTGTGAAATCATGTTAAATATTGCCACCGTCTGTCAGTGAGGAATCTTAACCAGACGATTTCATATCTATTTTAACAGTGCGGGAGTAATTTCCGAGGTATGACTTCAGTGTGCTTACCTCTGGGCGTAATCCTCGCATCCGTCCTAACCTCTTAACCTCTTCGGCTTCTCTGCATCTCCTATTTGTTTCGGTCTACGTGTACCTTATGCATTCAAAACACGGCCATCTTTACAGTGCTTGCTGCACTGCAAAGTTTTTGGAAGTAATACCAATAATATTTTGACAGGTTTTGATGTGCCCTTTCAAGCAGCTTTTTCCATCCATGACCACTAGAAATGGATTCAGAGTGTTCCGGAGACTGCCTCCATTTGGGTCAGCCAAGAAGCCCTGTTTCATGCGGTGAAACCCACCAGGCAGCGCAACAGAAGGTTAATTGGTAAGTCACATTCTGCCTTCTTCAGTTTCTGCACAGTCGTTGAAAATTTTGTCAGAATGTCAGTGAAATGCCTGAAATCCTGATCAAAATTCATGCACCTCTGAAAACGTATTCTGATATTGATGGCCTAAGTTCTACAGAGCATCAGAATAAGTTTTCAGCTTTCAGAGGTGCGCTAACTTTGATCAGGTTTTCAGACAGGTTTCTGATTTCGACAAGATTTAAACGATTGAAACTCTCTATATTCTTCCTCTATTCCAGTTCACCGAATTCAAACCTGTTCTGTGTCAGAGGATGAAGTTGTCTCCATTCCTTTTGAAATGGTAATGCAGACAGTGTCAATTTCCAACACACATTCAACTCTTCAAGAAAATAAAGGTCAGTTTGAAGCGAGTTGAAGTGGGTCTTTGGTTTCTAAGGGCAACACACACCTGTTACGCCACAGACTGGCTCTGGTGTCTTTCTTCTTATTTTGTGTGTCACTTTCGTTTTCAGGCCTTGGACTGAAGGATGAGGCAAGGGTGCAGGTGCTGAATTTGTGAAATCAGCTTCTCCAGTTGTAAAGAAAAGCAAAGTTGGACGACAAGGCAGTGCTTTTGTGTGTTGAAGAATCCCTCCCAGCTTTTTATGGTAGTGGGACGGCCACTTGCTGACTGGATGTGAAGGAGTCCGAAGGAGACCGGTGCAGCTCCTTATGTAGGTAAGTTATTGTTGTGCCCCTATTGTCTTTCTGAGGGCAGCTTTATTATCTCTCGCACTGGGCTCGCCTAATTTTTGTATGTAACACTATTTTCAGATCAGGGGAGAATGAAACAGTGGTGCCATTACTTTGTCTTCAAATTCAAGTCATCCTGAAGGATTTCTTTGAGCAAGTGCAGCAAGGCCCTGAAGAGTGCCTGGCCATTGATTCCTGAAGTCAGCAAGAACTTTTCACATGAGACCAGCACTACTTCAGCAGTAATGTAAGAAAATATTTCCCAGTGCAATGCACCATATCCCTTCTGAATACCTGTCTGTACGTTTTCGGGTGATTCCGTGCGTAGGGGCCGTTTTAGCCACCTAAGAAAGTCAAGTAATCAATCCTGCTTGTTCGGCCGGAATTTGGCCTAGATGGCATCAATTGAACCCCAGGAAGACACTCTGAGCGTGGGCGAGCTAAAAGTTGACTTTCGTTTTTCTCCCCTATAAAATATGACGAAATTAACTGAAATATGACGGAAATTACGCTTCACGGAAATTACAAACAGGTGTTTCTGGCTCACTGCAACTGCATATCGCCACAGAAATATGCCATAAGTTTGGCACACTAGTTCGACGTCAAGACACATCTTTTCACGTGTAGAATGTCTTTCAAAACCCAATAGACGAGGAGCGAGAGGGGCATACGGAAATTACACCAATTGTTACAACCCACCGATTTCACACACAACTTCCACTCGCACACTCACCCCCCTCACTTTTTCACCACCGAAATTCGTTCATATGGTAAACAGACCGTGCTGATTCTGAATACGGCGGTGGTTTTGAGCAGGAAGCACTCCTAGTAGTTTTTTTGGTGCTTACTTTGAAACCGCTAAGGTAAAAGTCGGAGTGCGGTGGACATTTAGTACGCGTTCTGAAAGTACAGTTCCAATCAATATACGATCTTCAAATTCAAGCAAGATAGTCACTATTAGTTAAAGATTTGATGGGTGTGTGTGGAATTCGAAGATTTGAATGGAACGCAGGGTTATAGAGCCGCAAAGTTGGTGTAAGGTGCGAATGGACATGACGGAACTTACAAAATCGACCCTTTTGGCCCCTCTCCCGCGTCACATGTTAGCTTTGAAAGTCCGTATCCAAAGGGAACAAGCTATTCTAGTGCCAAACAAGATTCTTAAGTGTATAAATGGACTGCACTCGAATAAGTTCGCTCTGGGAGGGTGTGGACACGAAAACGCCCTCTACGCGCGGAATCACCCTTTCCTTCTTAGAAGTTCTTCCATGTGACTGAATATGGTGCAGGATTTAAATCTCTTTTCATCTTTCTCTTTATTTTTTTTTTGCAGATGCTGATGTGATGGATTACGAGAATGGTTTCAGACTTTGGAGTTGGGAGGGCTGCTGAGTGTGTTTGTCAACTTTTGGTGAGTCTGTTCCTGTTGAGTCTGTGACTGAATGTACGTGGTGCTACAAATGTACACAATTGTCAGCATTGAAGGTCTTGTTGGCTGGTTAGCTGTAGTGGAATCTATCTTGACTCCACGATGATTGAATGAATGTGAAGGATCATCGCATCACTTTGCATTTCCAACAGAACAGGCATTTTCAATTTGCTCCCACTGTGTGTGGTTGATGAATGTACTGGTTATTCCCTGTGATAAGTTTGTCAGGCTCAGTTTTCCTGACAACTTAATCACGGTGATTCACCTTGGTGGTGCGAGCTGGACAACAGCAGCTTAGAGGGGCATAATCCATGCTGATAGGTATCTTATGCAAAACATTTCGCCTTTCAGTATTGTATCGAATGATATGGTTATTAAAGTCCTTTCAGTTGTGTGCTCAAAGTATACAAGGGCCGACTACAGTTCTGGATGTCTGCTTTCATCTGATATGCCCACCAAGAACTGGATTTCTCTCTGTCGAGCTGAGAGCTCTACACTGGGCCGGCTCACTGTGATGAGTTGGGAGCTCTTTTGGGCCGACCTTTTTAAAACCAAACAATTCACGTTTGGTGGAGGCTGTTTCGTTACAAGTAATCTTCCTATTTTGTCACCATGATCTGGCAAAGCTGTGTGCTGTGATTACGGCCAGCTTCACTGATAGCTCAGTCCATTGAGTGATGTTTGAGGGTTGCCCGTGTAACTTCATGCAGGCCTTTTGATGCTTTGCTGCTGTTTAAATGCTGCCTGAATGCTTTAAAAGGACACTGGCAAACTGCACAGATAGAATAATTGGCTGCATGAGCTCCAGCTAAAAACATTCGCTTTCTGAATGAAATGTGATTCCCTTGCGACACAGCTGAATAAATAAGCTGGGCCAAATTAGCTGCGCAGCTTAGGCATGTCATTTCCTCTTTCTCAGCAGCACTTGCCTCTACCTAAATTAGGCTGACAACAAATACTATCTGGAGTGTGGTTGTTTTGTACTTTAACTTATGCTGTTCTGTTGGTACTTTTTTGAACTGTGTGTAAAAGTTTGCTGGGGAGGAAATATTCCACACTTGGGGGTGAAACTTGTCGTGTTTTAATTTTGGGGGAAAGGCTGATACCAACATTTTTTTTCTTCATGTTGGGATTCCTCACTCTGAGTGAATCAGATAGTTGAAATGATATTTTTGCTGGCATGTAAAGTTTGTGTTTCTCTTTTTTAGGACTGTTGCCCAGTTTGACAGCTTGAAAGCTTTCACTCGAATGGATCAATCACACTTCTATCTGAAACCCCTGGCTTCTCTGTTTGCTTGTCCTGCGCAATCTCTGGTTCTTCACAAGGCCGAGGTGAGTTGATTTGAGTAGATCATAGGTCAGACTCTGGTGTTTGGTCAGGGTGAAATAATGTTCACAATTTATATCCCAGTTTTTCAATGTGTTTTTATTTTCTATTAATGTTTATTCTTCCTTTGTGACAATGATTCCACCTAACTTGTCCTCTCAATGCTCAAGTGCCAAGAGTATTGCATCCTTATCTTGTCACATTTCCCACAGTGGCAAGCTCCACATGGAAGGCTTGTCTTAGCTCTCTAGTGGGACTAGATTTTTGCTGCTAAATCTCTTCATAATTTCAGTTTGTAACATTTTTTTCAGATCAGAGAAGAAGGAAACAGTGGTGCTACAATTTTGTCTCTGAATTCAAGTCAGCCTGGGGGATTCCTTTGAGTATGTGCAGCAAAGCCTTGAAGAGAGCCTGACTATCGATTCAAGATGTCATCAAGAAACTAACACACAACACCGCGCTACTCCAGCAGTAAGTAAGAAAATATTGTCTGCCTAGCCTGTCTGTCTGCCTAGCCTGGCTGCCTGCCTGTTGCAGTTGAATCTCTTTCGTAACTTTTTGTCCCAGCCTTTGCATCGCTGGTTCCTCATATGTTGCCTCTCTTTGTTTTAGCTTGAGAACCATTCCTCAGTAGGCAGCTAATTCAACACTGCTGTGGCTGTCTTAACTCTTCTGCTGCACAATCTCTTTTTGATTCATCACAATGTGAAGCTTAGCTTATGCAGCTTGCTGAATGCATTCGTAATCTTCTTGTCTAATTAAAGGTATAATATTTATTCTGGCAACAACTTATTCGAGTGTCACTTTTCTTTCTTTCAGTTCACTCAGTTATGAAGTAGAAATTTGTTATGTTGCAGTGAAAACTGTTATGTTTCAGGCTTGGATATATTAGAGTCTTCATGAATCTTCATGAAAGAATACGCTTTTGTGTCCTGTTGTCAAACTGGTAAATTTCTGTTGCCAGAATGGTTTGCTTTTGCAAAGGGAAACAGCTGTTATGGTGAGATTTTTGAGCGTGAGGCAGAGGGAAGCTCCATTATTTATTGGACCTACTTGTTTAATATTTAAATGTTTCCCTATTTTTCAGATGGAGACAGCGGTGGCGCATTGATTGCACAATACGTGTCTCAACTCAACTCAGCCTTTTCGCTGTTCCTACATCTCTCTGAATCTTCCTGTATTTCACTTCAGCTTCTCCGGTTCTGAAGAAAAGCAAAGTTGGACGACAAGGCAGTGCTTTTGTGTGTTGAAGAATCCCTCCCAGCTTTTTATGGTAGTGGGACGGCCACATGCTGACTGGATGTGAAGGAGTCCGAAGGAGACCGGTGCAGCTCCTTATGTAGGTAAGTTATTGTTGTGCCCCTATTGTCTTTCTGAGGGCAGCTTTATTATCTCTCGCACTGGGCTCGCCTAATTTTTGTATGTAACACTATTTTCAGATCAGGGGAGAATGAAACAGTGGTGCCATTACTTTGTCTTCAAATTCAAGTCATCCTGAAGGATTTCTTTGAGCAAGTGCAGCAAGGCCCTGAAGAGTGCCTGGCCATTGATTCCTGAAGAACTTTTCACATGAGACCAGCACTACTTCAGCAGTAATGTAAGAAAATATTTCCCAGTGCAATGCACCATATCCCTTCTGAATACCTGTCTGTACGTTTTCCTTCTTAGAAGTTCTTCCATGTGACTGAATATGGTGCAGGATTTAAATCTCTTTTCATCTTTCTCTTTATTTTTTTTTTGCAGATGCTGATGTGATGGATTACGAGAATGGTTTCAGACTTTGGAGTTGGGAGGGCTGCTGAGTGTGTTTGTCAACTTTTGGTGAGTCTGTTCCTTGTTGAGTCTGTGACTGAATGTACGTGGTGCTACATATGTACACAATTGTCAGCATTGAAGGTCTTGTTGGCTGGTTAGCTGTAGTGGAATCTATCTTGACTCCACGATGATTGAATGAATGTGAAGGATCATCGCATCACTTTGCATTTCCAACAGAACAGGCATTTTCAATTTGCTCCCACTGTGTGTGGTTGATGAATGTACTGGTTATTCCCTGTGATAAGTTTGTCAGGCTCAGTTTTCCTGACAACTTAATCACGGTGATTCACCTTGGTGGTGCGAGCTGGACAACAGCAGCTTAGAGGGGCATAATCCATGCTGATAGGTATCTTATGCAAAACATTTCGCCTTTCAGTATTGTATCGAATGATATGGTTATTAAAGTCCTTTCAGTTGTGTGCTCAAAGTATACAAGGGCCGACTACAGTTCTGGATGTCTGCTTTCATCTGATATGCCCACCAAGAACTGGATTTCTCTCTGTCGAGCTGAGAGCTCTACACTGGGCCGGCTCACTGTGATGAGTTGGGAGCTCTTTTGGGCCGACCTTTTTAAAACCAAACAATTCACGTTTGGTGGAGGCTGTTTCGTTACAAGTAATCTTCCTATTTTGTCACCATGATCTGGCAAAGCTGTGTGCTGTGATTACGGCCAGCTTCACTGATAGCTCAGTCCATTGAGTGATGTTTTGAGGGTTGCCCGTGTAACTTCATGCAGGCCTTTTGATGCTTTGCTGCTGTTTAAATGCTGCCTGAATGCATTAAAAGGACACCTGGCAAACTGCACAGATAGAAATAATTGGCTGCATGAGCTCCAGCTAAAAACATTCGCTTTCTGAATGAAATGTGATTCCCTTGCGACACAGCTGAATTAATAAGCTGGGCCAAATTAGCTGCGCAGCTTAGGCATGTCATTTCCTCTTTCTCAGCAGCACTTGCCTCTACCTAAATTAGGCTGACAACAAATACTATCTGGAGTGTGGTTGTTTTGTACTTTAACTTATGCTGTTCTGTTGGTACTTTTTTGAACTGTGTGTAAAAGTTTGCTGGGGAGGAAATATTCCACACTTGGGGGTGAAACTTGTCGTGTTTTAATTTTGGGGGAAAGGCTGAGACCAACATTTTTTTTCTTCATGTTGGGATTCCTCACTCTGAGTGAATCAGATAGTTGAAATGATATTTTTGCTGGCATGTAAAGTTTGTGTTTCTCTTTTTTAGGACTGTTGCCCAGTTTGACAGCTTGAAAGCTTTCACTCGAATGGATCAATCACACTTCTATCTGAAACCCCTGGCTTCTCTGTTTGCTTGTCCTGCGCAATCTCTGGTTCTTCACAAGGCCGAGGTGAGTTGATTTGAGTAGATCATAGGTCAGACTCTGGTGTTTGGTCAGGGTGAAATAATGTTCACAATTTATATCCCAGTTTTTCAATGTGTTTTTATTTTCTATTAATGTTTATTCTTCCTTTGTGATAATGATTCCACCTAACTTGTCCTCTCAATGCTCAAGTGCCAAGAGTATTGCATCCTTATCTTGTCACATTTCCCACAGTGGCAAGCTCCACATGGAAGGCTTGTCTTAGCTCTCTAGTGGGACTAGATTTTTGCTGCTAAATCTCTTCATAATTTCAGTTTGTAACATTTTTTTCAGATCAGAGAAGAAGGAAACAGTGGTGCTACAATTTTGTCTCTGAATTCAAGTCAGCCTGGGGAATTCCTTTGAGTATGTGCAGCAAAGCCTTGAAGAGAGCCTGACTATCGATTCAAGATGTCATCAAGAAACTAACACACAACACCGCGCTACTCCAGCAGTAAGTAAGAAAATATTGTCTGCCTAGCCTGGCTGCCTGCCTGTTGCAGTTGAATCTCTTTCGTAACTTTTTGTCCCAGCCTTTGCATCGCTGGTTCCTCATATGTTGCCTCTCTTTGTTTTAGCTTGAGAACCATTCCTCAGTAGGCAGCTAATTCAACACTGCTGTGGCTGTCTTAACTCTTCTGCTGCACAATCTCTTTTTGATTCATCACAATGTGAAGCTTAGCTTATGCAGCTTGCTGAATGCATTCGTAATCTTCTTGTCTAATTAAAGGTATAATATTTATTCTGGCAACAACTTATTCGAGTGTCACTTTTCTTTCTTTCAGTTCACTCAGTTATGAAGTAGAAATTTGTTATGTTGCAGTGAAAACTGTTATGTTTCAGGCTTGGATATATTAGAGTCTTCATGAATCTTCATGAAAGAATACGCTTTTGTGTCCTGTTGTCAAACTGGTAAATTTCTGTTGCCAGAATGGTTTGCTTTTGCAAAGGGAAACAGCTGTTATGGTGAGATTTTTGAGCGTGAGGCAGAGGGAAGCTCCATTATTTATTGGACCTACTTGTTTAATATTTAAATGTTTCCCTATTTTTCAGATGGAGACAGCGGTGGCGCATTGATTGCACAATACGTGTCTCAACTCAACTCAGCCTTTTCGCTGTTCCTACATCTCTCTGAATCTTCCTGTATTTCACTTCAGCTTCTCCGGTTCTGAAGAAAAGCAAAGTTGGACGACAAGGCAGTGCTTTTGTGTGTTGAAGAATCCCTCCCAGCTTTTTATGGTAGTGGGACGGCCACATGCTGACTGGATGTGAAGGAGTCCGAAGGAGACCGGTGCAGCTCCTTATGTAGGTAAGTTATTGTTGTGCCCCTATTGTCTTTCTGAGGGCAGCTTTATTATCTCTCGCACTGGGCTCGCCTAATTTTTGTATGTAACACTATTTTCAGATCAGGGGAGAATGAAACAGTGGTGCCATTACTTTGTCTTCAAATTCAAGTCATCCTGAAGGATTTCTTTGAGCAAGTGCAGCAAGGCCCTGAAGAGTGCCTGGCCATTGATTCCTGAAGTCAGCAAGAACTTTTCACATGAGACCAGCACTACTTCAGCAGTAATGTAAGAAAATATTTCCCAGTGCAATGCACCATATCCCTTCTGAATACCTGTCTGTACGTTTTCCTTCTTAGAAGTTCTTCCATGTGACTGAATATGGTGCAGGATTTAAATCTCTTTTCATCTTTCTCTTTATTTTTTTTTGCAGATGCTGATGTGATGGATTACGAGAATGGTTTCAGACTTTGGAGTTGGGAGGGCTGCTGAGTGTGTTTGTCAACTTTTGGTGAGTCTGTTCCTTGTTGAGTCTGTGACTGAATGTACGTGGTGCTACATATGTACACAATTGTCAGCATTGAAGGTCTTGTTGGCTGGTTAGCTGTAGTGGAATCTATCTTGACTCCACGATGATTGAATGAATGTGAAAGATCATCGCATCACTTTGCATTTCGAACAGAACAGGCATTTTCAATTTGCTCCCACTGTGTGTGGTTGATGAATGTACTGGTTATTCCCTGTGATAAGTTTGTCAGGCTCAGTTTTCCTGACAACTTAATCACGGTGATTCACCTTGGTGGTGCGAGCTGGACAACAGCAGCTTAGAGGGGCATAATCCATGCTGATAGGTATCTTATGCAAAACATTTCGCCTTTCAGTATTGTATCGAATGATATGGTTATTAAAGTCCTTTCAGTTGTGTGCTCAAAGTATACAAGGGCCGACTACAGTTCTGGATGTCTGCTTTCATCTGATATGCCCACCAAGAACTGGATTTCTCTCTGTCGAGCTGAGAGCTCTACACTGGGCCGGCTCACTGTGATGAGTTGGGAGCTCTTTTGGGCCGACCTTTTTAAAACCAAACAATTCACGTTTGGTGGAGGCTGTTTCGTTACAAGTAATCTTCCTATTTTGTCACCATGATCTGGCAAAGCTGTGTGCTGTGATTACGGCCAGCTTCACTGAGAGCTTAGTATTGAGTGATGTTCTGAGGGTTGCTCTTGTAATGACATTCAGTTGTCCAGTCCCAAGTTTGATTTTGTAAAGATGAAATTTGAGGATTTCTGTATATTTAGAGGAGAATGATTCTTGGTGTGGGCTTTTAGTGACAAGGCCACTGAGAACTGGTGCTGTGGTCTTGGTTGGCTTTCCTCTATAAGTTGTGAGCTTCATTTTGGGCCGACTGAGGTTTCTTTGGGTGTGACCATTATTTGTGGCAGCCACCGAAAACACATTATCTTCTAACCTGGATTTTACAAAAAGCAAGTTGAAAATGCAACAAGCTGGGCCAGCTTAGTGGAGTCACTTGGTAAGACTGTAGACCACATCACTCTGATGCGAGCTGTTTTTCTTTACGGCCATCAAAAACAATTTTCTTCCTACAGAAGGGTCTTTGATACTGTGACATCTGTTTGTCGACGTTTAGATCGAATCAATTTAGTTGTGTGCTCTTTGTCGAGGGCCGACTACGTTCTTGGTGTGAGCTTGCAACTGATACGGCCACAAAGAACTGGATTTGTTTTGGTCAAGCTGAGTGCTCTAGACTTAGGTTACTGACCCCAGTAACTAGGGAGGCTGGGAGCTCTGAATTGGGCCGGCCGAGCTGCATCATACATTTATACTTCAGGGCTTACTGACTCAAATTTATGGCACATTTATTTTAAGGCAACTTGTATTGAGTTGTCAAGAATTCAAGTTACCGTTAATTTTGATAGGATTCTACCTTATGGTTTCTGTGAACATGATTGATATGGTGATTATCTGCAAAGTTGCCAGGGGCCTTTCTCTATCTATTGATGGATAACTTCAGGACAACATTGCAATTTAAATTTGGAATATGAACACCTTGCTTCCTCCACAAAAAAATAAATTAAAACAATAAGAAAACATCATTCACGTAATTGCATGGTTTCATAGCTTGACTCCTGATTGAAGAAAACTGGCACAGGTTTAAATTCGATCTTCATGTCAGTCGTGTGCTCTCTACTCAGGGCCGACTGTGGTTCGCAGTGAGGACTTTCAATGATGAGACCACCAAGAACTGGCGTTTTTTGTTATTAGCTGAGTGCTCTGTTCTCATTTGGCTTTCTTAAATGCAATGTGTGCTCTTTCGGGCCGCCAGTAATTTTTGGTGTGAGCTTCATTTGCTACGGCCACACTTGTGAAGAAGTTGAAGCAGCTCACTCAAGTCAGTTAGTTGGTCCGTGGGACAGCCTGTGACACTCTTATTAATGTGTGCTGTTTTTATGGTCACTAACATTTCCTATAACTTGCACTTGTTTATACTGTAGTGCTTCTGATACTTTACCTTTTATGTTTGCTGGTGTGAAGTTGAAATCTTTTCAGTCGTGAGCTCTATGCGCAGGGCCGACTGTGGTTTTGGTGAGAGCTTTTAGTCGCAAGGCCACCAATAACACAATTACTTCCTGTCAGGCTGAATGCTCTGATTTCAGCAGGCTGAGGTTATTTTGGTATGACCTGTCTTCATTATGACCACCAATAGGATTTTATTTTTAAGAGCCTCGGTCCAAGGAAGTTTGAAGCTTTGAAATGATTTGTGAGCTCCTTTTGGGCCAGTCATTTTTTTATCGGTTTGGGGTGGTGATACGGCTTTTGAGCCTTCCACCACCCTTTCTGTGCACTAAGTCAGGGCTCCAATTATCCACCGCGGCGATACCCCCGCGTAGATCCAGCCGCCACCCCAGACGCGCGGCAGCGATACCCCGCGCCAGCAGCGCGCCGCGCCTCCACTGTAGCGCGCCGCGGGCGATCGCGCGACCCGATCGTGTGCGATCGAGACCGATCGGGAGCCGAAGCGGTCCGCCGGGCTGACCCCGAAGCTGAACCCGAAGCGGGCCCGAAGTCCTCCCCCGGGGCCCTCGGCCCGCGCCCCCCGAGACCTCCGCGACCCCGAGCGGTCCGGTCACTCTGAGTCCAGCGGTAGCAGCGACTAGTCGCCTCCTGCGCACTCGTCCCGCGTCGTGCTTTTTGGACCTTCGCCCCGCGTACTGTACTTGTACTTGCTCTGTATGATTACTGATTGTCTGTACCTGAATAAACCTTGAGTTTACTAAGCCATACCTCCTACTCTCTCTTCGGTTCACCTCCCCAAACCCGCACCCTCACATTGGTGGCAGCGGTTAAGAGGGAGAGAGAGGAGAAGGAAGGGCGCAGGGCGTGGCAAGAGCCAGTCCACCGCGTCTTTCAAGCACTAGCCGCGGGTCTTTACGACAGTGGCACGGTGCTTCCTAACGTTCACGCGCGACTTAGGTCAGCGAGGACTTAGGCCCCCTCAGTACAGACAGGGTAACGCGCGGCTCAGGCCAGCGTAACCCAACCACCCGGCAACGCGCGGCGTAAGCCAGCGTCGCCAGCCACCCCGGGAACTGCGCGGCTCAGGCCAGCAGTCCCACCCTGACGAGAAAAACCGTTACTTTTGACCGGTAACGCGAGGCGTAAGCCAGCGTGCCAGCTACAGCGGTAGCGTCCCTCGCGTCTCCCCGTCGCGTCCCCCCAGCTTGTTGTGTCTAAGGGTAAGTGTTTGAAGCAAGTGTAGTGAAAGTGTTAGAACCGCGTACTAGTGCGTATTAGGGTTTCTTCGCGAAGCGAGGCACCGCCGTTGAGCGTGGCTACGTCCAGCTCCGCGGGGCCCCCCCCCCCTTCCCGACCGTTACGCTACGCGGCAGGCGCGGCCAAGCCAGCCTGTCGCTACGCCCATTGTCGCGTTCCCGCCAAAACACACCCAGCGCTCGCAGGGCCCGTCGCTGAGCGCGGATAATTCCAGCTCACGGCTTGCTCTTCCGAGATGGCACCTTCCAAGCGGCGTGCCCCGGCGCGTCAACCTGTGACAGCCGGGCCCGCCGGCCCAGAGGCAGGCGATTCGGACGCCACCCCCGACGCCGTGCCCAAAGAACTCCCAACTTTGCCAGCGTCGGCCATTCCGCCGCGCACTTCCGAACGGCTCCGGCGCCAGCCCGTCCGGTTTTCGCCCAGCGACGAATCTAACAAGGAGGAAATGTCCCCCGAGGCCTTCGACGACCTCGTGAACCTGGCCGAGACCGCGGAGCGCCTCCGCAGCGCCAGACTGAGAGGAGAGAGCGCTCCCTGCACCTCTCACGCAGCCGACGCCATTGACCAAGCCGTCATGGAAATGATCCAAACAACCATGCCGACCCCTGCCCCAGAGTCCGAGACGCTCCGGCAGGCGCAGAAGGCCGTAGGGCGGTACCCGCCGACGGGAAGCACACGGCCTCCGCCGCTGTCCCGAGAGCACGCCACCACAACCTCTGTGCCCTTTGACTTCATGGCCAGGAGGGAGACAAGCGCGGACGTGTTCCGGCGCGAAGGCATCCGAGCCGACGGCTCGCGGGCTGAGCGCGGCCCAGTGCCAGCTCAGTCCCAGCGCCCGCGCACTGCAAGTGCGGCACCTACTACATCAATTACCCTGCTAGGCTCGGCAAGCTGCCGTCCACGCCCAGCCAGTGCGGCCCCAGGCCGTACGTTCTGTGATAACGCTCCCAGAGGCCAGAAAGGGCGGCACCCCAGCCAGGTGCGCGGCAGGGACGCGCCCTATTCACCGACCCAGTCCCTAGAATCGGCACCCCAAAGCCACCGCCGAGTTGAATTTGGACCCTCTGGCGTGCAAGTTGCATTATCTGAGACAACACTGTCTCCAGGGCGTGCTTCTAGGAGCCGCGCACAGGGAAGCTCGCGCGCCGCGCAGCGCCGCCGCGAGCACGGCGATGACGGAGGCAGCTCCCCGTCGTCCTCAGACACTTCGGACACCATCTCGCTGTCCTCAACTTCCTCTAGCTCTGCGTCGCCTAGCCCCGCACGGCGCGAGGCCCACGGCCAGCGCCGTGGACGGGCCAGGGCCCAGAGCACCCCTGAGAGGTCCCCGTCGCCCCCACGGCGCGTCCGGGCCCAGGTCCACGTCAACGCGGCGCGTCCGCGAGCTGAACAACATGACTCTGACCTGGCTGAACCTCACCCCATCCCGTTTGTGCAACGCAGGGCGCGAGCCCGCAGCTCCAGCCAAGCACGAGGCGGCCAACGGCGTGCAGGCCGGCCACGCTCGCTCACTCCAGGGCCTCGAGGCCGTCATCAAGCACGAGATCATGCAGGGCGTTTCGCTTCACGTTCACGCTCTCGCTCACGCCAGCGCCGAGGCCAAGGCCAGACGCAAGGCGCAGGGCAAGCCCGAGGTTCACGCTCACGCTCACGTTCACACTCCCAGCCACGCCAGCGTCGCGGCCAAGGGCCCAAAGCGGGCAGGACCGAACGCAGAGCTTCACGCTCCCGTTCACGCTCACAGCCACGCCAGCGTCGCGGCCAAAGCCAGACG